CTTGAAGGAAAATATACAACAGGCAGAGGTGTTGCAGAGTATACTAATTGGATACCACTTGGGCAACTGAAACACATTTCCTGTAAAAGAGGTGTATTGAAACACAGATAAGCACATATACTTGGACAGTTTGAACACTGTTTCACATCAGATGATGATTCATATTTCTATTAAAGCTTTTTCCTCAAATCCAAATTTGTTAGCCTTGGAAGCTATAAGATATACAAAACTTACTCTTTCCTCCATTTGAGTGAGCTGGGGGAAGGAAGGAAGGGAAGAAAAACTGCAAAGTTTAGGAAGAAGAGTCTGAGTTAGCAACAAGTTCCTCTAGCACAGCAAACAGCCACCCTGCTCTGACGGCTGCAACAACCCATGCAAGAGGCTTGGAGGGCAACTACACAACTACTGCACTTACCTAGCTTTTCAAAAAAATTCCCTTGCTACCTGTGTTCCCATTATTCACCACTTGTGACCATACTGTCATACACAGCAGCACACCTGTGGAGCAAAGCATTTGGCTTCCCAGTTGGGCAAAAGGCACATCACAGCTGAAGGGAGTGAGGGGTTCCTCTGTTCCAAATCAAAAGCAGAGGCCATGGTGACAGGAGAGGAACATACAGGCTGAATCGACTGCAGACAGCAAGAGAGGAAAGCACCAACTCTGTCCTGTGTGCCATATAGTCAAGTTTAGTGAGTATAACCCAAACACACAGCTTTCAGCAGTCATTCTGATGAATCTGGAAAACCATCCCAGAGACTGAGTTATTAGAAAGATCCTGTCAGGTCCATTTTACCAAATACTTGTAGAAGTTATTTTAAGTGCCAGAGGAACATATTTTTCACCATGCCTGTAAGATTTCTCAGCTACTTCTGACTGCATAATGCAGACCAGAGCAAACATCAAAGCAACCAACAGTGTGACTGAAGTTAAACTGCCCCACAGCACACTTGTCTACTACTGTGGCATTTTGATGCAGCTACTTTGTTCAGCCTCTGAATCAGAATAAAAGATATCAGATGGCTTAAATCCCATACAATTGTGAAAAAGCACATCCCACCCATAGAGAGCACAAACCCTGCATGGGGAGGGAAGAGGCCTGACTTAGCAGAACACCTGCAATCACCTAAAAGGGCTGGATAGGAAAGCTCAGGTGGGATGGAATAAAGTTCAACTCTCACAACACTTACATATCTCTGAAATTGCCAGCTATTTACCAACATGGTCAGTTTCAAAAATGTGTCTAGACTGCACAGTGTCCCAGTTCATTAGTTAACAGAAAGAGTCCAGATTTCTGCACAGGACTATTTGTACTACTCCTCATTGTCTATGTTTGGTTGTTTGACAAGTTTAATGTCTTTGTAAGGGACATTGTAAATCAGTTATTTTACCAAACAAACACTAGAACTAATGAAACCTGTAGCTGTGACATCCAAGTCCCTGGACAAGCAACATCAGAGTTGTAGGGGCAACTTCAGCTATGAGCAAAATCATTCAGCAGAGAAGTGCTTGCACACAAGGGCTGCTCAGGGCACAGGTGCATTCTCCTAGAAACACATTTTGACTTTCCATATTTGTCTATTCTTGTGCCAGATGCACCTTTGCTGAGCCCACTTGCATCACTCAGAGCTGTATTTCTCTTTGCAAAGTAAATTTATCCCATCCCTCTTGTGCAAGGACAACTTGAGTGATAGTCTGATACCTGGGTCAGATCAAGAAATCTGAGCACTGCATAGAAGTCTGAAATAAAAGTATTGAATGACTTTTTTTTAGTCTTGAAATTGAAAGCTTCTATGTAGAAAATAAGGTCCTCTATGTCCCTCTGATAAGCTTGCAAAAAAGACAGTGGATTGTGGGGAATTTTTAAGAAACAACTGACTGTGCATTAATGATATAGGTCAGTCAGATGACACTGCACCACTTAGTTAAAAACAATATATAGCATTAAGTGAAACCATCTGTTCTGCCATGGCAGAATTATTTGCCATAACAGCAAATAATTTCCACAAAGGTGGGCACAAGGAAAACTTTTAATATGAAACCACTTCCAGGATAATGTTTTTTTCTCACCATATTCCCTTACATTTTATACTCTTTTTGGGCTCCATTGCACCTCATGGCTTCCCCCCTCAGCCTTGAAAGGCAGCGCTTTGCCCGTGCTCCGCATCCCTCCCGTGGTGCTGCATGGCAGGAGCTGGGAGCAGCAAGGGCACAGAGGAAGGGCGGATAGGGGTCACTTCCCTGCACAACGCTGCTGATCAGCCCTGCCAGGGGCTGGCACCGAGGGGACCGACTGCTGTGCAGCCGCCTGAGCCTGCACGGCACGCTGGCACCTGTGTCACACACCCCTGCAGCCAGGCAGGGGCTGCACTTCACTCTGTGGTGCTAAAAGCAGGCTGACCCACGCAGTGGGGACTTGGGCCATACACAGTAGCCTTCACTGCACTATTTTATAGCATAAGCTGTAGCATCTGTGTTGAAAGGAGGGTGGTGCTCAGTTCAGTATAAACAGATTTCCTTTCTGCAGAAATGTTGCCTTTTGTTTTAAAGAAATGAGGATGTGTTAAAAACATCAAGAATGCACCTGCCTTGATTCCCCACAAGCAGAGTCTTCTGTTCCATATATGTAAAACGTAAAATTACCCCCATTTCCTTAAGAGTCCTAAAGTGCTACAGGTATTTACACACTAACAAAGACTCCTCTATGTTAACAAGAGATTTCAATAATGTAGGGAACTTCACAGAGGTGGCTGGCAGAGAACAAAGAACACAGATGCAGAATAACAATCTAACACATGGGAATTTTACCACATACAGAAAAAATTACGAATGTTTTTTAGCAAATGCTGAAGTGAAAGATTTGCCAGTAAGAATGCCATTTAACAGCAAATTATTTCCTCCTGAAAATGGATTCCCGTTGGAACTGCTTCAAGTTAACTGTTTAACAATGCATGCAAAGCTAACTTGCAAATACTCATATGTGCTAACACCTAAATTAGATGCTATAACTGTCAATGCAATTCAGTCTTTTCACAGAATCAATTATATTGGAAAAGACCTCCGAGATCAAGTCCAGCCTGTGACCAAACACTACTATGTCACCTAGAGCATGGTACCAAGTGCAATGTCCAGCCTTTTCTTAAACACCTCCTAGGATGGTGACTCCACCACCTCCCTGGGCAGTCCATTGCAATGTCTAATCATTTCTCTGAAGAAATTCCTACAATTGTGCAACCTGAACTGCCCCTGGCACAGCTTGAGACTATGTCCTCTTGTCCTGTCACCTGTTTCTTGGGAGACCAGCCTGACCCCACCTGGTTACACCCTCCTTGCAGGGAGCTGCAGAGAGATAATGCCACCCCTGAGTGCCTCCCTTCTCCAGGCTAAACAAACCCAGCTCCTTCAGCTGCTCCTCATGGGGCTTACCTTCCAGAGCCTCCACTGGACACCCTGCAGCACCTCCCTGTCCCTCCTGCACTGAGTGGTCCAGCACACACAGAGCACTCGAGGCACCTCACCAGTGCCAAGGACTGGGGGACAATCACTGTCCTAGTCCTGCTGGCCATGCTACTTTTCACATAAGCCAGGATGCCACTGGCCTTCTTGGCCTGTGCTGGCTCGTACCCAGCAGCAGTTGACCAGCAGCCCCAGTCCCTCTCTGCCAGGCAGTTTCCAGCCACTCTGCCCCAAGCCTGTGGCACTGCAGAGCTTTGCTGTGACCCAAGGGCAGGACTCAGCGTTTCTCTTTGTTGAGCCTCACACTCTTGGTCTCTGCTGATCAATCCAGCCTATCCAGATCCCTCTGGGCACATTTTTAATATTTTCACTTGAATATGACAGGGGAAAGTCATAACCACAAACTTAAGGTTTTATATAGAAAAAGTGAATTTGTTCTAGAGCTCCTAGACCAGGTAAGAAACCTTTTAGATGTAATTTTAAACACTGAGTAATTTGCTTACTTTTCAGTACAGAGAATCAGCACTTAGATACTAATTTTTCTAAAATGAGTATGAGTCTTTCGAGGCAGGACAACAAGCCAAGGCCAAGGTCTACAAACAGGTGTCTTTATGATGTACTTCAAGTAACATTTCCTCCAACATTTAAGCAATGGTTCCAAAAAGGTAATTTCCTTGCTCTGGTCCTCAAATAACGCATGAAGTCTTTGTAATTTTTAATAACCGGCATTTCCGAGCTCGTCTGTACGCTGGGGCAGTTAGGAACGTCGGACGCGGCTCCCACAGCCCCGGGGCCAGGTGAGCGCTGCCGCCGCCCAGCCCCGCCCGGGGCCGCTCCTCGCCGGCCTCCCCTGCCCGCTCCCGGCCCCGCTCCCGACCGACCGACTGTAAAAACCGTGTAACTCCAATAACCGCCGGAATAATAAAAATAAAATTTAAAAAGGCGATATTTGTGACTAACCGCCAGCGGGGCTTCCGGAGATGCCGTTATTGATAAACGAGGAGCTCAGCTCTCCCTGCTCCTCTGCCAGGGCCGGGCGGGCCGGGGCTGCAGCCTCCGGCGCCGAGAGCTGGGCACGCACCGGGCGCGTTCCAGGTGCTGTAATGCACCGCACAGAGCCATTAAATACCTCATTCCAGTCGTGTCGGAACCGGGTAAAGATCACCGCTTGTGACATCTCTGTGTTCCTTTGCTTGGCATCACACGGCACTTGGAAACAGAGCCGGGATCTCGCTGCGCTAGCGCGGACATTGCGGGGCTGCCCTAAGGGCCGCGCTCCATGAGCTTGCTGCTGCTCCCCGAGCAGAGCCCGGGTGCCAGGGCCAAGGCGAGGGGCTGACAGACCTGCTGGTCAAGAGGCTGCAGGAGCTTACGGCCACTAATTAAGATTTATTGGAACCACTGGTGTGATCGCAAAGCAAATTGCGGCTGTTTTGCAGAGGAAAGGGGTAACTGCTTCCACCTAGGGCACTCCCTGGAGCGGGGCTACAGGCGTAGCCCGTAATTCACCCGCAGAGCACACGCGCTGGTTCTGAGGAGCTGCAGCCAAGTGTAGCATGATGTTTATTAAAGGTATTGATTCACACATTATATTAGGAACACATGACCACTTTAGGAAAGGTTATCAGACATACAAATATATTAAGTCATGTCAGATGTAAACCACCATCTGGTCCACTTTTGTACATGCTAAATGAATTTTTTTTTCCTAGATTTGTCCATAGGTATGGTTAGTAGCCCTCTTTCTTTTGGCAGAGTATTCTGTACAGACTGACCTGGCCCAGCACTGGCATTCGAAAATAGAAATCATATAGTGAAGTTTAGGAATAAAAAGACATGTGAACCTCCTGTCCTAAAGCTCTGTTAGAGTCTGGCAAGCTAAGCTGGAAGCTGATCTTATCCTTATGGCCAAAAGTAGAATGCAATGGAAGCCTCCTCCAAGAAGAGAAAATTTACAGCTTTTATTAGATGTTACAGATAACCAGAGTATGCATTAATAGTCACTGTATGGATCAAAAGAGACATACAATTAATGTGAACATACTATATTACTGAACTATTATTACCACAAAATTAAAAAGACTTTACCAGACCAAAAGACTGATTTGATCTGGTAATTGCAAGAGGGTATTTTTATTTGTTTACAAATATTCTTGTTATATATTCTGCAATTCTAGAGCTGAGGCACTACAGCACAGGCATCAAAAATCTCAACCAAATTTCCAGTTTTTATATATCCTATGACTAAAACTTCTTAAAAAATAATTTCCATACAACTTCAGTCTGAAATCTCTTAAGTCTCTTAAATTTTGTCTTAAATTGTTGGATATCAAAAAACACTAACATATTTGCTCCTGAGGATAATTAGCCCCCAAATTATTTTTAAAGTATACCTGAAATACATTGATAATTTAAAAACACATTTCAGGGTTAAATGATTCGTAAGTACACGAGTCTTTGGTAAATAATAACTACTCTGCTCTTCACTCAAATAAAAAACTCAATTATTTTTAGATCTAGAGTAACTGATTTCTTTAATAATTATTTCTCTAATGAATAAGGCTCACATGGCACAATGCTGAGTGGGATAAATGGCTGTATGTATCAAAACCCAAATGATGTTTTCAGGCTACAAATCCTGTAAATACTAGGTTCCTGCTCTGGCTCATTTTGGTTTTGTGCTGTTCAGCCAGTCTCAGGAATCTAGACCTGAATGAGAGCTTTCTAGTGAATTAGATTTCCAACATTTAAAGGTGTCAGCAATCTAGAAAATACTGTCCATTGCAAAGATACATTCTACAGTAGGTACTGGATTGCATGCTAAAAACTACAACAAACCAATTAGTGTAAGTTTTAAATAATACATTACAGCTGCAGTATTTCCTAAAAATGTCTGCTTTACCACTTAGGCAGTGTAACAGAAAAACTATGCACTATGCATGCGTGTGGAGCTGAGGATGACTGCTTGCTCCCAAAGGAAACCTAAAGGCACAGGATACAGGTAATGTGAATGAAAACCTGGAAACAAACATTGGCTTCCATTTTATTACAAGAATCCAATTAGGAAGTGAATGCCTAAACTGATATTTTACTGTTTGAGTACTAGATGCCTTCACTTTGGCTAAAGGATACTATATCATGTCCTTTAAGAAAAATAGCAGTATTAAATAGATCTTGTCATTTCAGAGGAGAAATAAAAATATGTCTGCTTTAGATTTGGCTTACAGAATTTTGGGGTTTATTTTAAACATATCCAAGAACAGATTATTTTTGATAACATATCCATGATCAAATTATTTTTGATAACTGTTACAGATTTACTCTTCTGCAAGAGTTTTCTAATTATCTGCTTTGTTAAAGGACATTTGAGACAATAAATAATAATACAGTTTACAATAAATAATTTTCAAGTCAAAGTATTGTACTTACAAAATAATGTAATACTGTATAGAATCTTCCAGAACAATTTCATTTTATATATTCTGCAGCAAAAATAACATTTCTAGTAGGAAGGAGTTACTTATAAACCTAGCAAGATCTACACATTCACATGTGTGTGTAAACAACTTAACAAGGTTTATTATGTTCCCAGAAAAGCTATGCTTTTACAGTAGGTTTTCAGCTAAATTTTATTATAATACGATGGTAAGAAATATATAACAGTGCTTATGTTTAGCTCCATCACAAGTTTAAAAAAAAAAAAAGAAATTGCTATTATTTACAACAGCAATTTCCTTTTACTTCACAAGTGGCTGTATCTGTGTGTGAACAAAAGGTTAGGGCGAGGCGATCCAGATGGACTGCAGCTAAGTTTGGATGAGGATGGTTTCAGGATGAACAGTGAAGGTCTTGGCAATAAACACCTAGAAAGGATATGAAAAACACAGCAAAGTTTACAGACAAAGCAACATTCAAGAGCAAAAGAACTAGTTGTTAATGTGCCAGACTTTATGATTGCTGTGTGCAGGAAACTCAGTACAGTAAATGCTATTTATGAAACACAGAGGGCAATAGGAACAAACTAACTCAGAAAAGGAATCTAAACTCTGTTGTATGAGGATCAAACATCTTTCCAGTTTTATGTTTCAAGCCATAAAATAAATAAACAATGGAATCCTGTGTAAACAACAGAATCCTGTTTAATTTAAACTGGGCAAAAAACCATCTTATAAAAAGTTGGATCATAAAAAAAAAAAACAAACTAATTAAACACCAAGATTTCCATGTCTAATGTTCTAAGAATAGACATGTTATCACTACTGTAGTAAAGGAAGAAATGATCCTACAACCTAGTAATTCAATTCCCATCAGTGATTATTTGCCTTTTAAATTCAGGCAACTGTATAGCTTGTATTTAATCTAAAAATACAAAGAGCAGTTTATCATATCCTAATATTGATTCTTAAATATTTTCATGCTGTAATTAACTAAAAGTTAATTGTAGAAGTCAATAAAGTGTGCAAAAATAACATCCATACTAAATCAGAATTTCACAATGAATTATGTCAGTGTTAGGATGGATTAACACAACACATTGTATAAATAATTGCTTAAAAATTGTTGTGCAATTCTAGTGAATCATATTGATTAATGACAAATAAGTTAAAAGACTGGTCAGACTGATCCCATGGATAGAAACAGCAGCACTGTGTCAAGAGGAACAATCTATATGAGAAAGTGTGCACATGTGCTTTGTTTAAGCTTGAGAAAAACCTTATCACCAACATATTTTTAAAGAATTTATTTAAAAAAAAAATAAAGTCTGATTTGGAATGGGTTTTTGGTGAGCTTGACACTTCACTGCGTCACCAGACCTAGTCCTACCTTTGCCTGATGATACAGTAAAAAACTTCAGTACTTCCCAGAGAATATGCCATGCAATAGATAAGGTCATTTAGCAAGCTGTAAGGACCTAATGGTAGATTTTTTAAAATTGTTTTTTTTTGTAACATGGGTTAATTTATGACTTTTTACACAGTTTGATTTTAGCTAATTTTTTAAGAGACTTTGTATGGTTTTTGAGCAATCCTGTTGTTTCATTTACTTAGTGGGTTTCCAGTTAAGAGATAGAATTGAAAAGAAATTTGAGAAGTTATTAAAGAATTCTGTGGCAGCTTTCATTATCTTTTTATCTGTCCCTGTACAAATAAATTTTCCCAGCTAAAGGCCTATCTATTTGTAAACTGTGAGAGCTTTAGTTTCACAAACATTTGTTTCTTAAACACAAACAAAATAAAAAAAATTGTTTGTGCTCAGACAAAAACAAAGTTCTTCAAATTAGATTTTATAAAGTCTTGAAAAAATTGACTTCTCATACATTTATTACATTATACTGTAATATTTTCTGCCACCACAGAATTTTATGGAGAATCAGGAGAACTATTATTAGTAGTGGAGATTCATTAAAAACAGAAACCTGTGTGAAAAGTGAATTGGTATTGTGGTTCTCCCACTTCTAGAAAAGGAGTTCATTACAATTGTGGGCTGTTACAGACAAGAGAATTTATTTCCATGTGTGTCTTTCATTTCACAAATTCAGAATATCATGGTTAACTGGCATATTGCTGTATTCATGTCTAGATGAAACATGTAACTGTAACTTTAATCAGAGTTGTCTTGACACTCCATTACTTATATTTAGGATATAGAGGGCTTAGATTCCTCCAGCCTATGAAGTTTATGAATAACTTCCATTCAGCATCCAAAGAAATACAGAAACTGGAGACGAGAAAGTTCTCTTGGAACATCCCTTTCATTGCATTCCAAAGGCAAGCCTGTTAGTTGAGTACATTACAGTAATCTGATCTTTGTGGTTGGTCATGATGTAAAATTTTCTGCAGCATTAACTATAAAGGCAATAAAAACTTTGAGATTTTCTAGTCTTAGCTAATCCAAATGACTTTACCGTACTCCTGCTATTACTCAGGAGCTGTTAATATTGAATACGATTGGTTTGTGGCTAACCTACTTCTGCTTTTGCTGTGATCAAGCAAATTTAGTTTCTGGTTGACTTTAAATTATGTTAGAGTGTCTTAAGATCCACATGTCAATAATGCATGGGTCCAGTGTATCAAATAACTAATCTGAGATATATCAAGTAAGCAATTAAGTAATAAAATAAGTTTAATAGATAATATATCAAAAATTTGTTTTTCACGTAATGCTTAAATCACAAAGCCCTTCTATGAAACAATATATGCAAGATATTTTATATAAACAAAGCACTTGTAATTTTTATATACACAGTAATTAAAATGGGATAGAATTTGGATCCTAGGTAATTTAAAACTGACATTTAATTCTCTGTCTATGACTGTTTAATTGCAAATTATTGACTGCCATAGTTGGAGCATTCTCAGTAATCCCTACACTGATAATATTATAACCTCTATTGTATCCAGTTGGGGAACTAAACCAGCCAATGGAGAGTCAAGTAAGTGCCAAATAACTCTTTTACTATATGATGCTGTTTTGCAAGGTTTGAAAATATATTTATGCTCCATAAAATGGAATAATAAAACTTCTGGTCTATAGATTTTGGAAATCAACTTTGCAAAACTGTGCAACACAGTAAATCAGATGGCACTTACCTGACCCTTGGCTGGAGCTGTGCCCCTATGGCAGCCCACTGCGAATGTGAAGCCAGAAGTATCTGACATGTTAGGATACCTCTAGGAATGCAAATCTGGAAACACTGACTTTGAGGGATCTGAGAAGGGGAAGAAAGGAGATTTTCAGTTCACTTTCTGGAAAGCCTTTGCTGCAGATAATTAGGCAGTAGGCAATCAAGAGATTAGTAAGTGTACAAGATGTACACAAGTTCACAGAAGTTTCATAAGACATACAAGATGTGTATGTCAAGTTTTCTTTTGGTAGCACTTCATGACTGGGGCAGTGATATTGGAATGACTAAAAGTCAGGATCAAGGGATATGCTGGGGAGTTTGGTGGGGTTTTTTCCTAAATACAGAGGAAACCAGACTTAAGGAAAAATTTAGTGGTAGCAACATGGAATAAAACCTGTTCCAGTACTATCCTTTATACGTATAACTTAGGAGGAAAATATTCAAATTTATACCTTGTATCATCCCAGTGGTGGCTCATCCCAGTTGGGGATCCTCTTGCATCTGATGAGTGTTTGTAAACTACCAGCAGGCAGTGTTTACAAAGCTGAACTATTCGCTGGCAGCACTGGAGCTGCTCCGGAGTCAGCGCCTCTGAGCCTTTACTAAATGTGGTTTCCCAAGAGCTCCTGTTATGGAAACAGAAACAAATTCATGGTCTCTGTCACAAATTGCAATCTAAGAGCTTTATTACGTTATATCAGATTTAACAACTGAGGAACAAGAGAAAAAGCACAACCTTGCAGGAAAGGCACAGGAAAGGTTTATACTATTTAACACAAATACTGGCAGATGCTGAGTCCAAAACACAAAGTAAGAAATTAATCTTTATATGGGAAATATCCACTGCCATTTTTCATTTGGTTTGTTTCCTGAAGTGTTTACAGAGCCATTACTTCGGTTTAGCACATAAAGAGTTATGGTCACAAAATTGTGTATTTGTCTAACAACAGGAATAACACAAAACACTTATTATTTTTAACAGGCTACCACCTGTTAAAAGGAATTAAAGGAAGTAATAAAAGTAATAAATTAATTCTAAATGTCCACACAGCATAATAATACTTTTATTTTAAGTTCATGATAGTAAGAAACAAGTATGAAATTAATTTACAGGACATTAGTATGTGTTCTGCTTCCTTATGCAAAAAAGCATATGAAGAGAGTCCCTTCAGTTTAGTCATTCGAATACTGCTTATTATTTCCTCTGGTCGCATGGGTTGGTTATCTACACTTAAGTGTAACTTGCAGAGTACATCTATAGAAAAATTCCTTTTGTTTTCTTAAGAAGCCATTTTTCTTTGAGGGAAAAAAAAGCCACAAGGCCTACCACATCCATATAAACCAGGTGTGTTTCAGCACAGAAGACTACAATAAATAGTTCTTTGCATACATCTCTGCACTCTTGTTTGTGCAAAATTCTGACCATATTATAAATCATTCAATCTGTTTTAAAAGGCAACGTGGTGCTTGTGAAGACTTTTTTTGGACAAAATTATTATCCAGTAGCACAGATGGTTTGTAAGCTTGAGCTTTTTTGTTTGTGTATGAAAGAAGCACTTCACAGAGTGCGGAAAATTTGCTGCATCTGGCTTCAACATAGCATCCAGGCCGATTTAGCCTTGCCCACAGAGAGCAGCAGTAGATTTCACAATGCCCATGTAGAAAGTTCATCCTTCAAACAACATCACAGAACCAGCAAGCTCACTCCTGCCTAGTAAGATTTTTTTAAACTGAGCTGCATTTCACTGTGAGGGCGATGAGACACTGGCACAGTTTGCCCAGGGAGGCTGTGGATGCCCCAACCCTGACAGTGTTCAAAGCCAGGTTGGAAAAGGCCTTGAGCAACCTGGTCTAGAGAGAGGTGTCCCTGTCCATGGCTGGGGGCTGGGACTAGATCATCTATAAGGTCCATTCCACCCCCTTAATATTTTATGAATCAATGATTCTATGATTAGGATGGAATTTAAACCATTTATGACTAAAAGATGAGCTGTATGTATAGTTAACTGATTTGTCAGCCTGGCTCCTCTGTCTAGATGGTATGTTCCAGCTGAAAACATTCAGTCCTACTGAATTTTCATTGCAAACATAAATTTCAATGATGCAAGCATTTGTCTTTAATTATTATTCATACAATTGTTTAAGTATTGTTTGTATACATCAAAACTTTAATTTCACAAACTGAATCATCATAGAATCATTTAGGTTGGAAATGAGCTCTTAAGATCATTGAGTAATACTACTACTTTTCTTTAATATATTTTTCTCGACTGTTTTCTGTCTGCGAACTGTCCATATTTATTTTTATATAGAAATTAATCTATTGTCTTCAGTCTTTCCTCATGAAGTCAAGTTGGTAGAAAGTAGCAAGATGACGGTCCAAGTATTACATTCCTTCAACAGATTCACATTGCTACACATAATTATATTATAATTCACTCCATTCACTCAGAAATCCTGTAGAAGAAACTTTCCTGATAAATTCTTTAGGTTCTGGACTTTGTGATAACTTTTCTACAGTTAAGTGGCTTTTTTTCAGTGACAAATAATATATGGCCTGCTGCAACTGTGACTGACTATGAACTAATACTAGATAGTTACCCTCATAACAAAAGCTGAGATTTGGAAACATATACATGAATTTTAATGAACTTTCATATAAATGTGCCTGTGCAACTTCCTCCATGTGTTAGACAGATTCAGTTTATTCTCCATTATACTGCGATCAACAGGGATCAGAATTCTGTTTCCTAAATGTAATTGGTTATGCTGTAACTTTATCTTCCATACATTAGTGAGAAATCACAGACTCGTCACCAGATACAAAAAAAGAGTATTATACTGGATTGTGCAATGTGGTCAATCATGTGTTATTATTTTTATAATCATCTGAAGTCAACTTGTTCTTCTAGTTTTTTTCTATTAGTTTTAGTTGTTTATTATACAGTAAAACAAATGAACCTTTATGAAACCCTTTACAACACCTTTTTTTCAAAGAGAATTTCTTTGTTCTTTCTTTTCATTAAAATAGCACATACCTAGCAGAGATCTAACCAGCAAGAGGAAACCTTAAGGCCATTAGCTCCATTCTTCTCCCAAGACATCTATAATATGAATAGTGAACACACTACACTCCTTAATGGATTTTCATATAGTAATGTTGTTTCTGAATCAGCACATTAATTCCTCTTTCCCAACATGTTTCTCCAAATTCTACACACACCCTATGTTTATTCCAATCTGTTTGTTCCAATTCTTTAAAATGGCACAATGAACTCTTGGGGAAGAGTGATGAAAAGTAGACCTCTGCTACAGAGGTACTGCCATGAGTTCTCAGCTGTGTGTTATGGGGCAAGAAGGATGCTTGTAACTGAATAAACAACACACTGGCAATGTGCAAACAGCCTTTTTGTTTTCTTCCATGAATTCTGTATTATGTGTAACAAGTGTTTTACATGCAGAGTGATACTTATACACCCTGGATATTTATATATTCTACAGTATTTTTAGAATCTTTTATATAACAACTCCTCTTACAAGAAACTGGATCTTTTTCAAAGAATAACTCCACTTATAATATTTTATGACAACAAAAGAATTGAGCTTGTACTCAAGACTTTACACACCTCTGCTAGCATGAAGGAAAGAAAAAATTGTAAAGAATCTTAACTGCTTGCACAACAACAAGCGTTCAATAATGAGATAATGATAAAAGACCTGTTGATCTTTTGGATCCCTCAGATCCCTCTTCTTCTTGTGATCAATTTTCTTGGGAAACAATTAACAAGGGTAATGTGTGAGTTCTCCACATACAATAAATGATTATGTGTGAACATTGTTGATTCCTTTGTCCGTACAATATCCAACAGCATATGAATTGTTGTATTTCATTTTCAATACATCTCTTAGAACAACTTATGCAAGCTAACAAATGTCCCCCTTCATTCTTTATACATTTTATATACTAACAGAGAAAATGTTCTTTTTTGTGTGCAATATATTTCATATTTAAAATTTTGTATTCTTATTTTATGAATAAATTGGTGTGTGGGAGCAATTGGTTAACACCCTTGATATGATCCCCCAAATCTATATTTCTACCAATGCCTTTGATTTCAGGAATTTAGATTCTGAAGTAGAGGTTATTGAACTTGTTTATATGTCCAGATCTTTTCTTCCCTGTAAAAAACTTGTATTTGCTACCCAAACCAAAAACACCTGCTTACATGGACGTTCAATATTCTGCATATACTTAACTTTCTACCAGTATGGGAAACAAAGAATGTAATCAAGCACAGAAGTTTGAACTGTTTATTAGTAAACCACAGAAGTGACATTGCATCTGGCATGAGATGTCAGCTGCACTTGTGACTGAACTCTCCTAATGATCTGGAGCACAAATAGATAATTTCATTTCTGTTGATGGCAAGTCTATGTTTGACACAGTGGTCTGGCTTAAAAATCATGCACCATCCAGCAAAAGAGTTGACTTAAGGGCTAAAATACTTTGAATATTATATTTTTTCCTTAGATTATTAAACTTGTAAATACATTACTAAATGTTTGATTCCATTTCTGAAAAGGTTGGCCTTGATTGCTAGATTTAGTTCTACTATATATCTTAAGGTGCTTTTAAAACAAGTTCAGTGTATGACATCATTCTTGTGAGTGAAAATGAGCAATAAAATATGTCAGCATTGATTGTAATTGTGAAGTTATGAAGAAGAAGAGAAGAAAAATTGGCTTACCCTGAATTACAGAAACAGTTCCATAGGCCTTGGCCGTGGCTCCAAAGTAAGCGATTAAACAGCCGGTTAAAAAGACGGTACAGATGGAGATTTTCAATGTCTGGAGCTTTCCAGACGTGCTGTAGAACTGCACGGACACTTGTCCTGACTATATCCAAAACCTAGGAAAGAGCATTCCAAGTAAATCAAAGACATTTTGCAAAACCAAAACCCAGCTGATGGCTGATGCCCAGCATGCATACAGACAGTTATCCCTGTACATATGACTGCATACCTGTACATTCCTTCAGAGGTCTGGGGTTCATTTCTGTGCAGTCATCAGCTAACTTTTTTATTATTATGTGTTCTTTCTGTTAGTAACATTTTGCAAAGCCAAATCAAAGTATTTTTATTTTATTACTGAAAAGTTTATTTCTGTTTTTTTCAGTCTGTTCAATAATACTAGCTCGTTTAAATGACAGAAAGGGTAAAAAGAAACAAATTCTAGTCTTTAATTGTGTCAATTTAAGACTAGAAGCAACTTAATTAACCCAAGCACTGTATGTCTTCTTTTCCCACTCCCTTGTAAAATCTATTTTATAAAGAACTGAAATGTCCTGGAAAATTACAAACTGCCTTTGATTTAATGTCTGTTTAAGCTCAGTGTTGCCCTATATCAAACCATATTAGTGTACCTGGCAAGAGACAGTGGTGACATCAGTAAGAAAATAATCAGCAAGATATTTAAAATAGAAACATTTATCAGCACGCCATGGATTTATTACATTTGGACTACATTTAAATTCAAGAGCATAAAGGCTGAGCTGCATTCAGTATAGTGCTAGACAGCTGCACATCCAACTTACTAGAGTCCTGGATACACCTTTGCACATCCCACTGAACTGGGGCATGGAAGGAAGGTGGGATTTATTGTGCCTGCTTTTAAATATCTGGATATTCTCTTAACCGAGTCGTCTATGTTCCCTTCATAATCCCTGGAGTGTATCAGACTCCAGAGTGTCTTGGATTCTGTCTATTTAGATACTATCAATAAGTCTGGGAATATTTTTGTGACCAAAGTAGTATTTAGACCACATATTGACACTCTGAACAGTGTAAAATCTGTCCTATAAAAAAGCCTACAGTGCATGTAAACTATCAACAAAAAAAGCCAGTTAAATCCATGAAATTTCCTTAAAGGAAACACCCTCTCTGCCTTTTTTGCATAACAGCATCTACCAAAAAAACAATCACCCTCAAGTGGGTAGTAAACAGATGGGGATATTTGCTAATTTGTGTAAGATTTTATAAATTAGAAAGTACAATGCTTTCCCTGGAAACTTTCAGGTATGTAAGACAAACCGATTCATGTAGTGAATCATGGTTCTCAAAAGGTGAAAGAGATTTAGTAGAACAGTAAATTATGGAAGAATGCTGTGGAATTGCAATTTTTAGATTCTACATAAAAAATTGTTGTTTATAAATTGTCTGACAATGAAGGAAATAAAGCTTAAATATACAAAATGCAATAGCACAAGGAAGCTGTTTAGTATGCCTAATGGGCAGAAAATCTATAGATACCTAATAATGACAGCCTTGATGAAATATGGTTTTTTCCATGTTATTTAAACTCTTTTTGAAGACCTGAGATTAGTCTGCATGCACAGGTCTTGCAGAAATTCCATGTACATAATAGCCCAAAGTAAATACAATACTGTCCTCTCTGTTGGGAATCATTATGAATGCAGGTATCTAATGCACTAAAACCCACACCCATGGCCTACTCCTCCCAAAGAGTGAGATAGAAGGAGTAAGATATTAAAATCTAAGGGTGCTGATCTTTTTTTGTGATAGCAGGAGCTAAGCCCAGGTTTTGGACTGTCCCATGCCTGTGGGACAGGCTCAGACTTTCAGACACTTCCTTAGCAGCATCAGCCTTCATGCTTCCCAAGCCCTTTTCCTTGTGTCTCACCTGTCCAAGGCATTCCCACACATGGCTGGTGTCTGTGGTCAAACACACATCTGAAACAACTCAGTCCCTAAAGCACATAAGAATCAGCCCTGCATTTCTTTGCAGATTTACACTGACAATAGTATCTCCTTCTGTGAAAAAGAACAATACCACCCTGTATAGACTCTCTCACTAGTTCAAAAGACATAAGCTAAAAACAATGATGCCAATGTAGAGCTTTTCCTTTTACTGTAGTACCTGGAGTTGAAGAAAACTAAGAACTGAACATCTTAGAGCAAGCCACAGACTGCCAAGTACTCTGGAAAAAAAAATCTTTCTCCTGTTTTTACTGTGCTGATATTGCCAATATGCCAATGCAGAAAATGTGCTGGTTAATTGTCCCTAATGTGCAAACATGGCAAAAAAAATCATCCATTTAAGAAGAGACAAGGCATTGCACAAGGGCTGGAACTTCATGAAACCTATATCTTCATTTTTCTAAATTAATTTCCCTAACTTGCCTTCATTTTTCTCTTTAATTTACATCATTTACTTTAACAAAACAAATTTTCTAGGTATAACAGAACAAGATGTTATGAAAGGGTGTATTCAAAACCCTCTGGTAAGCATCAAAACACTTTTAAAGAAATTATGTAAAGTGATGCAACATCAAGCAGTCATAACTCCTCCCATACCAAAATCTCTTTTTATTGAAAGTCTTAGAGTAGAAGTTAATTTTTTTTAACATGAATTGATTTAATTGGTTTACTCTCAACTTCTGAATGCCTCCTATATCCATGCTGTAATGCCAGAACATTACACACAAGATTATAAGTGTAAGTTTAATTTTTCTATATGATGTTGAATAATTGTTAAGCAAATACAGCTGTCAGGTATGAACATTGTGCAATCTAGTACATTGCCCAGGTATTTTCTTCTTGTGTGTTAGAATTTCCCAGTAAGTAAGAGGGAAGGGGACTGAGATTCTGTGTTGTATTTCACAAAGTTGCAAAAGGTACCTTTGAGACAGATTTCTTACTTGCATAAATATTCTCCACCTTGCTCATTTCTCCTTCACCCACCTCATTGGAATATAAAACATACTTCTTTCAAATCAACAAAAGACATTTGGCAGTCCTCAGCTGCAATGTCATTGTCAAAGTTAATCCGTTTTTATAAACTACCCTTCTAAGAATAACTATCTGATTGCTTGAAGGGATTGAGGTTAAAAGCAGTTTAAAAAAAAGGCAAATCATTTCCAGTGCAAGCAAAGATGAAGGGCTCACTAGTGCTTCAGGAATTATAAGTCTCCTAAAGTTGTAAAAGATGTCCTCACAAGAAGAGCAAAAAGTCCACATTTCTGATTGTGCAGTTTTTGCAGGTAACAACCTGGCACATCAATCTCTGTCATCCTGACTTTGTACATGTGCCCTTGGTTTAACATGACTGCCAGTCAAATAAAGGGCAGAACCACCCTCTATGGGAGGCTTTCTGAAATAACGCTTAAAGGAGAAAATTCTTTGCTTGGTAGGTCCATTTTTTATTCAGCATGATCTCTTCTAATACTGTCGGTCAAATACTCCAACAGCCAAGTGAGTATCACTACCTCTAATGGAGTTTTAATATGCCTGGTCTGAAACTGCTGACTGGTGTAGCCTTTATCAATCAAATCTGCCAAGTGAATACCCTTCTAAGAACATTAGCTAGAACTTAGGTATGTAAGCACTAATCATTGTTTGCATTTTTTTTAGAAGACTAATTTTTTGAGAAATTGATTTTTAAATTATAATCCAGAGCAATCATGCTTCTCCAAATATGGAGCATAATGTCCTTTAATTGAATTAATGCATATCTATGTTAGTACCAATAGTCTACATTTTAGCATCTCAAGTCCCTCCCAGCCGCTGCAAAACACCAGTAGAAGCGCTGCTATGCACCTACTTTAGATGACCTTCTGAAAATGAAATATGTCACTTACTTTTCGTTGTTTTGCTGAATCCAGTTTTACCAACCAATAGGATGAGACTTTTGTTTTATGATACTTCCAATTGTCCATAATCTGTGGTCATTGTAAAACACAAGATAAAAAATACACATGAAAACAACTGAAAGCTGGTCTTTCAATCACAATCACTCCTAACCCTTAAAAATGTGAGCATCTTAAAGACTCCTGAGAATATTTTGCTATTTCTTGTAGAGAAATTTTCTCTACAAGAAATAGCAAAATATTTTCAAAATTATGTGGGGCAAAATTTGCAAAGATCTGTGTGATGCTTCAGTTTAATTCCACCCTCTTTTCTACCTGATTCTGACAATCATACACTACAAAGCAGTTAGAAAGTTGTCTTGACTGACTCAGCCCAGATTTTTTGAGAGTAGTAGGTTCAAGAATGCATAACTGCTGATATATTTAAATAGTGAGGGGTTTTGCTGCAAATGGGACATTGGACATACCTGGAAATCATATATGATAAATAATCATATGAACTTCAACACTCTCCTCTCACAAAATATAAGTGCTACCAAAATAGCTCAAGCTGCAAACATACATTGTTATTCTCGTTTTGTTTTCTTCCTACTCTACTCCAGACCTTCAACAAGTTCTGTCTCGCCAGCACTCGTTTTCCTCCGTGATGAACTCTTTCCCATCAGGAATTGGTTATGGCCAGATGAACATTACAAGAGCTGTGCCCCAGGAAGGCGTGGGGCTCCCCAGGCTGGCGCTGTGCGAGGAGGCAGCGCCAGATGCGCGCTCGCGGCCGGCTCGTGCAGAACCACGCACTGGGGCTTCGGGGACAGCCTCTCATGGAGGGTTCCAGCCCTGCTGCTGGGAAACCCAGCCTGCTGGTGGTGAGTACTGTCTTCCACCAGCACCAAATCAACCATCACTACAGAAGAATTCCTTCCCACTCCAGTGTAGCAGCAGAGATTGCTAGAAACATAATCAGCATTCTGGAAGCTCACAGAGCTCAGGTCCTTTCTGGCCAGATAATAAATCAGATTAATTTTAACAGATCAAGGACAGTGCTCACTACATCAGAGCACAGGTGTTTGAATTCTTTCATTTTCCTTCTAAAATGACAAGAAAACATCCATCTTTATTTTTTTCTTTTCCATTCTGTTAGCTTCTTTGCATTAAATATTTACAAACTATTTAGACACCATGCAATTTCTGCTTATATATCAAGTATTGGGATTTAATTGACCTTTTTTTTGGCATTGTTTCACATGTCTTCAATACTAAACTACAAGGCTCAGGACAACATTAGATGTGAGAAAGGTGAATTTGGTAGACTACAAGAGCCAAAAAAGCACATGAGACTGGTGTTCTTTATGACCCCCAAACCTCCATTCTGCCTGCAGCATACTGTTCTGAGTTCTCTAGTACGTCTGCTTGAGAGCAAGTTAAACAGGTCAGGGTCTGTTTTAACAATATCAGATGAAATATGAATTGTAACATTCTTCTTAGCTTACTTAAAAGTTTGAACTCTCTCTACAATGAAAAACTGAATTTTCCTAACCCTCCTGATTATTTCTCACATATTTTATAAGGACACAGGAATGTTTTCAGTGCTGTGCTTTTAAGGTCAGAAAGCTCCAAGCTTTCAAATTCTTTTGAGTTATCCTGAGTTCTGGAAGTTTTAAGGCCACAGGAGCTAATGAATCATAGATTGAGCTTTTTACTTTCCTTCATTTCAGAAGCCTAAACAATGTCAAGCCTGTTCTTCTTTCTTATTTATAGATACTTACATCTTCTATAATTAATTCAGATTCTTCATTTGTTTTTCCTGGGAACCTTACTTTCAAGTCATTGATACGGAGAAGAGTCTCTTTTGTCAAAGCAACTTCTTGCTCTTTTGTTTTCTGTTGCAGCAAAGACTCACTCTAAAAGCCAGCACAAAGCAGAGGAAAAGATTTTAAGCGTGCCATTAAATCACATTACAAAGATGTTTGCTTGACAAAAAAAAAATTCTAGAGTGACATAAAATATATTAATAAAGTGCATAGACATATTATCTAATACAGAACTAATATACATCACATACATTAATGCATCACCATTACTGAGAGTTGTCAAAAAATCCAAGAAAAACAGTTAAAATGTTCGTTTGTTTGAAACAGAATAAACAAACATATATTCCATATTTATGGTGCCACAATTTAAAGTATAAATTTGAAATTGAGATAATAGACTTTGAATTTAAATTCAACATAATAAAAAATATTAGTCATAAAAAGCATCCTTTCAATGCGTCACTTCAACAATTTAACATAAACAGGCAATATACCACAGGGCCAACATTTCAGGGAGCATTAAAAAGGCCATTTTTCTCCTGCTTTAGTCAGTAAGGGGTCTGACAGGGCCTCCAGTTGTCCAGAGTTTTGTTTAAAGTATCAATGGTTTTTAAACCAATACTGATCTGAACCCCTGCAGGGTTGGCAGAAGACCATCTCTGGAGGATTTGGGGGTCTACTTAAAAACATGACACACTAGTTAGAAGTGTTTCTGATCCTCTTTCTGTACTTTCACATACTTTTGCTTTTTCTCATTTGCAAGACCAAGTCAATCTAATTTTAACATTTTTCAAGAGTGAAATTCAAAATTTTTAGGCACTTCTAATCTTTGTATTCTGTAACAACTACAATACTTAAGGATATCTTTAATTAAGTGAGTGATAAATATTTTCAAGCACAAAAAAAATATTCTGGTATTTGATACATGTTAATATGCCTGAAATAATAAGATAGCAAATAATTTTAAATCCACTTATGCTTTTAACTCCTATAAGAATATGTCTGTAATTCCCAACTGTAAATGATTTATTTTAAATTTTGTTTCCCTGCATTTAGAACATTTGGATCTCAGCAGACTCCAAAAATGGCAGTGTACTGCTCTTTTCTTGCCCAAAGAACAGATAAACTAACACTTTATCATGCACAAATGATTTCTTCTTAGTAAGTCACAGATTATCAATTTTAATGTTATTCTAGCAGTAATATATAATATATTATTCTTAGTTGCAAAAATAATTATGAACAGAGTTTCATTCAGAATACAGTGCTAAATTATAAGTCATTCTTATCCATTCTGTAAGTAATTTTATTCATATCATTTTTAGGAAGCATGACCTAAGCTCTATCACCCAAAGTAATTGTTCTAGACATCAAGATCAAGATCATTTCTGTGGTGGAGCTTTCTCAATGAAAAAGAGAGTATGCTTTCTAACTAATGTTAATTTAACCGAGTAGGCCATTTTTAACATCGGATGGTAAAAGACTGCTTTTAATCTTTCAGTAATTTGTATTTGATATAAAGTTAATGTGAATAGAAAAATCCATATTAGCACTGTCTCATTAAACTCTCAGGGTACATGGTGATGATAAAAGGGTACTTTTTAAACTTGAGATAGCTAATGCAATAAAACATACCTTTAACACGTTGTTGTGAAGACACAATCTTAATGTCTTTCCAATTCTATTAGCTGACTTTAAAGATGGAAAACCATGTTAAAGAGTATTTCACAAGATGTCAGCACACAATTTTAAAAGGACCCTTTTTCATCATTTAGACAAAGCCTCACAGGCAAAACAGACAATGAGCATTCTACCGGATAAAAATGATAATTAGAGATAGTAAATACTATGAAGCAAGTTAATTAGCATTACAAAAGGATTGCTCACAATCAAAGCTCACCACAATACAGAGAGGCAGCAAATACGGGTTAAAAGTGCCAATTTGTTTTGCCCCAGCTCCGCACAAATTATTTGGGTGATGAAATATATAGGTCAGGCATCAAAGCATGAATGGAAATGCTCTGGTACCAGCAGGCAGTGCAATCCTGAGTGAGGCTGGGGATTGATCCCTGCAAACACTGCCTAGGGATAAGTGAATATGGGCTCCATCACCCCAACACAAAAGAAAAAATGCCTGGGCTGTGAAGAGATACCAAAGAGGATAGCAATCTGCTAACAAAACGAAAAAAATATACATGGTCCGGAAGTATATTGTGAAAAGTATAACAAACCACAAAAATTCTAAACAATTAGAAGTGTTTAATCTTATCTGTTAATTATTTGGGCCAGTTGCTTGTCTGTCTCAAGGAGAGGGTGCAAATGAAAGCTAGTTTATCTTCTTTTTTAAAAAAGAGAATGGCTTCTGAGTCAGCTACTGCAGTGGCAAATCCCGAAGACCACAAGCCCTGTATAAATTTTCAGCTGTTCACTTTGGAAGTAGAGCTCTACTGCAGAGGTATAGCATATGCAAAACAGCTCTAATAGGTTGAAAATTAATCTCACCATCTTCTACAATGGACAGCCATACAAAACCTTCCTAATGTTTTATTCTGGCACAATGTATTTACCCTTGGACTATACACTGGGTTTGAAATCTGGATGTATTTTTGTTACTGTAAGGATTTTGAAGGTAGGTACAGCCTTACTTCAGAACCAGGAGCCCCCAGACAAATCACAGAAAATTTTTAAGAGAAGTAATGATCCTTTCTATCTTCAAAAGGCTGTTTAGGAGTGAAGGTTTCCCATTCAGAAAGTGAGGGTTTCCCATTCTCTTAAGAAACCTATTTCTACAAAATGTAACATCTGTATTGCTGCACCACAAACACTGAGACATCACAGCTGGCACTCATCCCATTTCACACACAGGTCTAGAGATCTTGTATGCTCAAGTGTCTGTCAAAACAATCTTGACAACAGTACCTCAAATTTTCTGATGTTGCAAAAATTACTAGTGTATTTATTGAGTTTTAGAAAGAACGGAACACATTTTGAATGCAACCACTGTGTTAACTCACCCCTGAAGAGTTCATAGTTCCCGAGGTGGCTGTCTGAGAGAATCTGGCTGAAGATGGGCTACGACTCAAGGAGTGGGACCTGTTCACAGAGGCTGTTCGCTGCATTTGGAGAGCTGCTTTGGCTGAGAAGGGGCGCGGCTCCGCTCCCTGGGACTGCATAGAGAGGACTGATATGGAGCGAGGGCAGCTCACAGAACGCCGGATTGGACCTGTGGATGATGTGGGGGACGAATATGATGGAGACTTTACATTTTTATTTGAAGGTTTGCAGTTCATTCTACCTGCAGACAGATCAAATGATTGATGTTATTATTTATTATTTTTTAACACCCATTTTTCAGTCTTTGTAACTAACAACACATATGATCAGTGTGTGCACAGATGTTGTACTACAATGTGTGTTGACTAACAGCTACCTATGTAGAAGTCAGTCGTGTCAGATCCCCTAACAATACAGAATTTACATACTCATAGGAACATTTATTTCTTCCTCATATTCAGCTTTAACCAGACTCCAATCCACTATAACACACATGAGATTTATGAGAGAGGGCATGTGATCTTTAGGTCAAAATATATGTGACTTCTCTGTATGGTTTCCTGACCATAACGATATGGAAACAGGAGAGAAAATTTGCACAATGGATCTCATATTTGAAGATTCAGTATCTCTCATTTGTTAAGGCATAGTTACACCATTTTTTAATTCAGTTTTCAGCTAAATAAATGCTGCTATGAAAAATAAAATTTTCGAAGCACCCTTATACATGTGCAACTACATTATAAAATTCTTTGAAACAATACATCACTAAAACAAACAATAACATGGTATATATCTATTAATTTAGAAAACATCTTAAAGGAACTAAAGCAAACCAGAGTTAAACCCTGAGATACAAAGCTGACACATTCTAAAAGACTGAGGAATTTAATACAAATCATCATCAATGCCAGACTTCCTTGGAAAAGTGATTATTTAACTTACCTGATCGTTCCAAAGATTTGTATTTATTTTCTTCAACATCATATGAAACTTTTTTCTCTTTTTTTTCATTGTGATCTTCCTTTTCAGTTTCTTCTCCCGAGTCTGACACACTGCTGTCACTATCACAGCTACTGTCACTGCTGTGGTTCTTATGTTTCCTTAAGGAATGTGCACTTTCTGGCATTGAACACAAGGGCTAAAAAAAAAAAAAAACCAACAAAAAAAAACCCAAGAAATTTAATTGAATCCCAAAGAAACAACCAGCTATCACACTAGATCCCTGATTCAGGCAGGTTCAGGCAGTATTTGCACAGCTATAAATCCTCCCAAATTAGTTGGAACTTTGTCCTAAATTTTAGAATAATTGCTTAAATATTTCATTAAATTCATTCCACTGTAATTCTAATCTTTGTCACATGAAGAGCAGCCTAATATAGTGGGGGGGGGGAATTATTTGAAGTATGAATTGCACTACCAGACATATCGAATTATGGTTTGAAATCATAAATCAATTTACTCAGAATACCATTTACAATCAGTTCAGGTTCCTCACTGATATTTGCAATAACTGAAACTATAGCATAACAGTGATCAACAGAAGTAGAAAAACACATCAGGGAACTGTTTTACTTTCAAAGAGAAAGTGATTAATCTACATCCCACAGAGAGCAGAAACCAAAGAATTTATAGCAAGCCATGCTGGGGTTTCTTGGTGCCTCATATGCACATGGGACTCAGTGCCATTAGCTAATTTTAATCCTGTGTTATTACCAAGGATACTGCAAGACAAAACCAAAAAGGTGGAGACAGAGAAACTGATCCAAGAACAGAAACTACAATTGAAAACTTTTCATCTTCCATCTACCATCAGTGAGACACAAAAAATGCTCTATCTTCCATTACATCTGCTCTCCTATGTAGGCTTATGTGGTCACCTTTTTTTCCTACACACTTTCTTTCCAGTTACTCTCAGCTATAAGAAGCTATGCTGATAGCTTCATCTACAGAATGGATTCCAATTAAACATCAGATTTCAAAATAATTAATATCATAATTTTTGGACATATTTTGAGTCAAAGTGAAAAAGAACTCCTAGGAAGAATTTAAATTTTTCAGACATCTTAGCATAATTTAATGCACCTAAATTTATTATAAGAGTAACAGGAAAAAGCCCCAAAACCTCCTGTTCCTGCAAGATACACTTTTAACTAAATAGATGCTACCTAAACTTCTATTCCAGACAAGGAAGGGAAGGGATTTCTGTCACCAATAGCATGTTTATGCCATCCCAAGCTGCTAGACCAGATAAGGAGAAGTTAGAGAAGAATACTGCATATAGGAGGGCCCTGACAATTGTTGTTACACAAAGAATATATACAAGATTGATATGTATCTGTCTGCCAAAGGGATAAAAGTAAGGTGCCTCAACACATACCACTTTATTAAAAATAGCTGTTCTTATCATGAAATGCTGTGTATAATGTAGACGTATTGATCAGACATTCCTGAGGAGTTACACAAGGTATAACAAACATTTTCAATCATAGCTCACAGAGGCTTTAAGATAGATCTTATTCCACTTGTCATATACATGTTCCTCACACATTCTACAGTAAACAATATCAATTAACAAAGAAAAATAAAAAGAAAGATCAAAGAAATTACAAAAAACAATAATAACAAATAATAGCTGAATCTGGAAATTCAATAACAAATAATAGCTGATCTCAGGAGACATCTGATTGCCTAGCACATCTTGCCTAGCTCATCACCTTGATCTTACCCTTATGCTAACCCAATTTTTCTGTGACTAAACTCATCTGATCTTATACCAAAATAATTAAAATTAATTTCTCATTTCCTGTACAACATCTGTTATTTTAGTTCCTTAGTCCATTGCCCTGCAAACACAGGTAACCCTGACAGTGTGTAGGTGTCAGGAGCCCTCTAGAGGCTGTAAATAAACTGGACGTTTCCAGAATGCCCTTCTCCATCTATGCAAAATTCAGTGATATTGTAAGTGCAGGAAAAAATGCCTCCTTCATTCTGTGAACTTCTTGACTTCTTTTTTCCTACACTGAATTCCTAATCATGTTCAAATAAAAATAAGGCAGAAATTCCTAGCAAATACAGAATAATTGTTAGATGAAAAGCTTGTATTTATTTATACGTGCACTGCCCTCAACCTCTCCTATGCAGAGATATGTATGTGGAAATGTCAACGTTTATATGTTTCTATGTGTGGAGGAAATATGTTCTACTCGTGTTCCTATGAGTAGGAACACACTTCACACACTTCTCTCTCCTAACTATTCCAGTTGTCCTGGTAGTTTTCTGAGTCCTGACTGATGTTTTTTTTTTTAAGGAAGAGTACAACCCAAGGCAGAGCATCTGACCTAAGAGTACCTTCAGTCAGCAGGGCTGCCACTGAATTTAAGGGGGGACAGACTCCATGACCTTCTCAAAGAACCTTTCATGTTGGATTACATGACATGAAAAGTACCAGTCCTGTGGTTGTTTTGTTGGGGTTTTTTTTTCTATTAGATCCTGTATGTGGAAATAGTTCTTTATTTGTAGGATTTTATCGTTACAAGATGAGGTTTACAGCTGGATTATTCTCTTACCTGACAGATTGACAGGCAATAGTACTTTCTACTGCCTGCCTCACTCACCAAATTTCTGTATAGACATATATTTGGACATTACATATCTCATAGCAAGCTCTTTACAAAGAGGTGGCCAATTACATGCATATGATTGGCCATATGCACCTTAACCCTCACAGGGAAGAGGTGATGCTCTTTTGGAAAAAGATACCAGGACCATCTGCATGGTCATCTGTATTTGAAAGGGAGCTCACAGGACATTATACAACCAGGGAAATCTCTGCTTACATGGCTTCACTGTAGGCAAGGTTTAAATGATTGAGAAATGTATCAGGGCCAAAAAAAAAAGATGCAGGAATAAGAATCCTGCATAGCATTAAGTATGTACAGTGCAAGGAAAATAAACACTCTCCCTGGATAAGCTAGTTTCATTGTCTTCTGGCTGGATTTCATCAGTTTTAGGGGGAAAAAATGAAATTTTGGTCATAAGCAACTTTTTCTTTCTCGCCTAAGTGCAAACAATATTGTACCACTAAGGCAGCCATAAGCTACACCATCCATTTGCCTGCTATAAAAGAAGACCAAGTCTTACTCATAAGTTAATCAAAATTCATCTTAAAACTAATTGAGAGAGGTTTCTCAATTTGGGCTTATGGGCTTAGTACCCTATTAATGTTTAATTAAAAGTTACAGTCTCCAGCCTGGGAAAGCCTTGTGAGCAAGGAGTGTAGAGGTAGAATAGAACAAGTCAGTGTGCATTCAGTCAACCAGATAGCTGCTCTCTAGGGTTGCTGGGAAAATATAGGGTTATGGAAAAAGGGGAAAATGTGACTGAGATGTTGAACTTGAATAACTGACCCCATGTTAAAGAACAAAATTTCAAAGCAAAGAATCTGTGTAAGAATGTGGACTGAGAGTACTGCTAGGGTGGACTGAGGTTTTTTCTCTTGTTTAAATGAATCCACTGCTGTTAAAGCACGAGCTCACAAAATCCCCATATTTTAATGAGGTCCCTGCAAATCTATCTTAATACCAGATTGGGCATGTAGATCCTCTTTCCAGAATGCACGCCTGTAATAAGATGCAGCTCTTTGGATTCTTGCACATATTTAAAGTACCTCTTCAAGCTCAGAACAATTGTCAGCATTCATTTTATACAGATATCCACAGATTTTTACACTATGTCATGAGAAACATAAAACACTGTAAAAAAATTTACATGCATCCATAAACAAATCCATCAAAGCTCAGAACAGAGATGTAGGCTCTTCTAAGCAGACTTGACCTAAAATGTTTACGGGATATAAAAAACATACTTATTCTAGTCAAGCCCAAACTATTTATCTTTACTGGCTTAGAGATATGCAGTTTATTTAAGGCAAGGACTCACATGAACTATGCACACAAGCAGAAAGCATTAAGCTAAAAATAATATACATTCACATTAAAAGCAGATTTTGGATACAAAATGCATTCCAAGATATGTTGTACAACCCTCTTAGCAAGGGAGCAAGCTCCAAATATATCAAAATTATAATTAATTCTTTGACTTTCCATACTGCCTTTTATCCCATGATCTCAAAAACCTGATTTTGGCACTAATTAATTAGAGATGAAGGCATTCTTTTGAGATCCACTATTGATATAAAAATCCTTTCACACACTGAAATCAATCTCTCGTGCAACAGTTGTTGCCATGCATGGCAATTCCTCCAAATGGTTTAGAGAGGGAAAGAAGGATTGCATATCCCGTTAAAAATTTAATGGGATTTAGTTGGGCAAATGGTAGTCATACCTCTATTTATACTTACAAAAAAAATTAAAAAAGGTTAATTGCAGTCAGAGGAAGAAAACTTCCAGCTGGATCAGCTAACTCAGAAAACCTGTCTATAGAGTGAAATAAAAAATCAGTATCTAGAAGTCAAATACCTTAGGTCCTCGCTGCCTGGGGCATTTTCCTGTTAGTTTTTCATCATCTATTTCACACTGCTCCAGAAGATCCAAAATGTCCTCCTCCTAGAAATGGGAATTTCATTACTATTAATTCAAAGCAGGACATACCCTGTCCTTCAAAAATTCAAGCAGCAAGTGGTAGAAATTTGAAATTACTCTGATTACTAATTCCTGAAATAGGAATATGAATTCCTCCACAGGAGGAAATATAAATATTTCTTCTCATGCATGCATCTTTCCTTGCAAGCAACATGAAATTGAGGGTTAAAATCAAGTCTTAACATATATTTTTTAAAAAATCTGAAGGATTGAACAAAGATTCCTGTAAAACTGCTGGATGATGACAAATACAAAGAGGCAAAACTATTTCTCAGATTTCAAATTACTTCATGTTAGCTGGTTATTAATAGAGCTGTTTTCCTACTGTCTCTGACTAAATAAGTAGGCAAATCAGGTGAAATTTTTGGATGCCTTAAATCCTTTAAGTAGTGGAGCTGGTTTTAGGGTACCTCTTGTTCCAGTCCATACAAGTGGATGAATAGGCTGGGAACATTACTGGAGGAAGAAGGAGGCAATTACCAGCTCAAAAGCAGTTTCTGCCAACCTCTGGTTTGGCCAGGGGTAAGGCTGAGGATCAGGGATATGGTAAAGTAGCTTAAAGCCATCTAGCCTGTCTCCACCCTGGGTCCACTGCGTTCATCCAGATTCAAGGATCTGGCCCACAAGCTGCACAAAGAATAATAATAAGATCATAGAACATTATCAAATGCTATTTAGCAGCCATCACACATGATTTTAGTGAAACTAATCCATGAGGTCATTAATTCAAAGTAACTCCTAAAGCCAGAACTCGGTGTATTTCAGTACCTTCATTCTTTTTAAGGGGTTATTCATTTCCCGCTGAAGCGAAGCTGCTCTTCCAGAAAGAAACGTCTGGAAAGCAGTGGCTAGCAAACTCTCATACTTTTCAAGTAATGTCTTATCATCAGGAGGGTAAATTCGCCTGAAAAAGGAAAAAGAGAACAATTTAAGATAGAAGCTGAAGTATTCATTGCACAATACACAGTCTTTTTTTTAACATGTACGTATCCCATCTATAATAATTATATAATATCAAATTATACAACATAATCTCTGACCATTGCTGTCTAAATCTACTTTTAATTCAGTGAACACGTTCATGTTTAAACCAGCAATTAGCCAGTCAAAAGAAATACCATGTAGGTCATGCCAAAGGTACACCAAAACCCAGTTTTGCAGTGCTCAGAAATTTCAGTGGGTGTGAGTGATGCATACAGGTGTGAATGATTCATGAAATATTAACAAAATATTGTATGTCAAATTCAAAGCCACAAGATAATTTGTATTAGCAATAAAAGGACACAAAACAATTTGTATTAGCAATCAAAGGACACAAAACAGTGAAAATCTGAACAATAGCTTTGATCCCATGGGCTGGATATGAATTAAAGATTGAGTATGTAGTGCACTTGAATGCTAAGTCCTCCAAAAAATTAACAGGCAGAAATAGGTGCTATAAGAAAGAAAGAAAAAAACCTGGTACATGGATATAAACAGTGACTGATTTTCCATTAGAGCAGCTATGCCATTACTCTCTAAAATCACAGGTAAGGAGATTATGACAATATCAGAAGCAGGACTTTGTGATTTATTCATGTTCATCAAGCAACAATGGGCTTTGAAGAAAACCACTTCAATCCATCTGTCATGAATACCCGAAACACAGCCAGAAATAGGGCTAAGATGGAAGACTAATTTTTAATGTGTTGTAAGGAGTAACCCATAAGGTAATTTTGCCTGCACTGTGCAAGGCATGGACACCATTTATACAGTGCATGACATTTTGTGATTTCTTTGTATTTGTGAGTCTTTTCTGAACTTTTTACAAGCTTCTTTTTTTTTCCTTGTTCTTCCTTTTTAGACATTTTCTCCCTGAAAAGGTATCTATCATGAGGATTTTGTTTCAATGGAGAAAAAGGATGATTTGATACCATTAGTCTCAGGGCAGTTGTAGAACCAAATGAAGATGCTTCCAGTTTGCATTAAAGAAAGAGTAATTTTCTTAATGTATTTGGAAATAAACTGCAGCTAAAGGCCATTTCAAAGCCATGTACATATTTTTCAATTCCTCATGATTCCACAAGAGCTCGAAAGTGCAGCTCCTACTTCAGCTGCCCCAAGACTCCTGCTGGAGCCTGCTGTGCTTGCACAGACATGGACTAAGCCAATTGCTGAGCTGATATCCACAGATTAAATCCAGACCTGAGTTTGACTGAGATTTCTCTGCATTTTTATTCAGAGTGCAATATTAATCTAATCAGCAATACTAGCATCCAGAATTTCTGTGATTCTATGTCAAGGCCTGACACAAGCTAGTCCTACTCTATAGATGAATATCACATGGAGAAAATACTGCATAACTCTCAGATAAAATTCCTCTTCTTCTCTAGCCAAAATTTCTTTCCTTCTCATGGTCTGCTGATCCTTCAGCCTTTTCTCAAAGACATGGTAGTAAGAAAACACAAAGCTATTCTGCCTTTCTAAAAGTGCAGATTCCTCATTAAGTGACACTTTAGTTTTTCCTGAGAAAAAGAAAGTTTTGTGGTTTTACTAATTTACATTAACCCAAAAGCTAAATAAAGAGAACATGTGTCTGATTTTCAGTCAAGAACTGAATAAGCAACTTAAAATGTGATCAGTTAATAAGCTAGACATTTAAGTTAGCAAAAAGAAAAATGTGTTAAAGCATCATAGTGCTTTTCTTTCTTTTAGTAGCATGAAAATAACCATTTCGTCACTTCATTGTACATCTAGAGGGTTTTTTTTACTTATTAGTTCAGCTCTACACATCAAGAAAATATGTAATTAAAAGTTACAAAAAAAGACTCTTTTTAAGCAAAATGTTAAGTCATCAAAAATGTGAATTTCACAGAAACATCTATCTGTTTAAAAGAGAGTTTTACTGGGAAATATAGAACATCTGCTCAAAAAAAGGCAGCAATGAAGAACAGCAACAAAGGTATTTTGAGTAGTTCACAACAAAATATGTGAACTCAGACCTCTCACATTCTGGATGGATGTTATAAAGAGTGGACAAATATTCCCATCATATATTGCTAGCCATACTCTGCTCCCTTTCACCAAATACTCCTAGGCCATGTTTTCACTTCTCATTCAAGAAATAATAATAAAAACATCGCAAAACAAAATTTTTGTTTTCCCGTTGTAACTGACAATGTAAAGCTCTCTTTTGAACATCTTTTACAAAGGAATCTGAAGGTACTTACATTTCAGCCTGCCAAGATCCAAAATTCAAGTGCAAAAATAAAAGTAAAGTATTTCAAATGTCACTCTATTCAAAATGATGGAAGCACCCATATTCCGAATTTTTGGCAAGCCTCAGAGATGCAATTCAAATATGATCTTTTTACAGGGGAATATCACACTGCACCCCCGGCCACCATGATAAGAATGATCATATGTGATTACAGAACAGGTCCATAACAACAATCATGGACTGAATGTGCACTGAATGTGAGCAATCATCTCTTTGAAGCAAATGTCTTGCACAAACAATAGGGTGACCGATGCCATATAAATTCCTAAATGCATGGAAAAAATAGGAATCAAGAAAAGAACCATCTGGAAAAAGATACCTGATGTATATGTATATATTTTCTATAAATGCCTACACATTTTTGGCAGAAAATTATCATCTACCACAAATACTTGTTTCCACTGTTCCTAAAGAATATACTGAATATTTCCTACTAATACAGTCAAAAACATTCACCTGTAATTCCCCATGTGTCTATTTTCATGCTCCTCTTTGGAAATCTGTTTACGTACTTGTGCAAGTCTTTCCTTCTACAAATCAAGAAAGTGAGACAATTAAAACAAAAGAGATTATAAACCATGAGCAAGAAACAGCATGTTTTTCCCCTTCCTACCAGTTCTTGTTTTCTCCTTTCCAGTGTGTGGCGCTGCTTCTCCCAGTCTGAGGAACCTGGCAGCAGTTTTTTCACTGACCCTTGACCATACAATCTTTTTTGAGCCTCAGCCTTCTGTTGGGCTAAATTCTTCCTTTTATCACTTGTCCTGAAGCACAGATGATAGTAAGAAATGTCAATTCAATGCAGCCAAAATGAGATGAACTTTCATATCAAGTAAATAATCCAGTCAGTCATGTGTTTATCATATAAAATCAGAATTGAAACATTCAATAAGATTTTTTTAATATTAACATTCATGGCTACAAAATTTTAACACTTTAAGGGATACTGTATTTACTCTGTGCTATAATTTAATATACAAACATGGTTGTATCTATTTTCCTGAGCTGTAGATTTTTTTTCAACATATCTCAGCTACAAAGTTTTCCTCTAGAGAGGTAGGCTTTCAATTGAATGTGACACTATCACTCAAGGAAATTTTCTTTATGGCCATGTACCCATGACTGCACATGCCAACTTCAAGATGTGTTTGAAAAATTTTTATACAGAAGTACAAAGATTACTATTACCATTCATTTTTTGCAAGCACATATGCATGAAGAAAAATTAAATTTAGGTTATTTTTTATGGCAAACTGATAGCAAGGGAAACATTTACATTTTGAAAATGCGAAGGTGGGAACAAAGGTTTTTCATTTCCTCTAAGTCCAAATCAAATTTGAAAAAAAAAAATCAAAGCAACAGAAATAGAGCCAGACTGAAGAAAAGAGGACAAGGTACCGTATGTTGAGAAGCTTCAATGCATTTAGCAGAACACCTTTTTTTACAACATAGTCTATTTTTTGATCCGTTCCAAAGCTTGGGGCACGATTAATCTGAAAAAAAACGAGACACAGAAGACTCAGGGATGTTCAGGTTCATTGGGAACACACCTATTGTAACAGGCTTTGTAGAAATGGCTTTCAAGTACAACAGAGTTTAAGAGAATGCATGTTGAGAAGTTCTTTTCCATTTGTATATTTTTTAAATAGAGTACTGAGTATGACAGACACTGGGAGCTGGGAAATGTACCCTTTCAGTCACCAGGTTATCCAGACATTTCCAGTGAACACCATTCAAGTCCTGCCACTGTGAATCCAGTCTAATCTACTCTTGGTTGCTGCCACCAGAAAATTTACCACACAAAGTGCTGTTAAACACATCATAACAGATGATGTGCCATGCTGTGGTGGTCAGGCACAGAAAGAGTCAAACTCTTTTCTAGTTCCCAATCTGAAAGGAACTTTAAATACTACTTCAAAACATAACAACTGTACAAGGACAGAAAGAGGCTCTAATCCAAGGTATTTTTAAGCATATTTAAATAACTTTTCAGATACACTTGACAGCAACACATAGAGATCTAAGCTATTAAATCAGTACAGAGTGTGAAAACATAACATAATTAACAGTCTCCACAACAAAAAGCTTATAAGCAAAGTACAAGATTAGAGATTAAAAACTGTACCATAAATATAGAGAAGCAAGGAAAATGCAACTGGGAATCTCATAGTGAGACTAAATCATACACTTAACATCCTATATAACCCTGACAAGTTTTGGACTCCCTGCAGAACCTTTCAGAAATCTTCAGTTTTCAGGAAGATTTGAGGAGGAATAATTATTTATTCTAGGTGCTCTTTCCAGGGTGGTATAAAAATGTATACTTGGGTAATGGGTGCTAATGACAAGCAGGATTCTCACTTTGATAGTGCATGAGCAGTGCTGGTTACAGAAGGCACAGATAAAAAAGAGCTTCAGAAGTGAAAAATAATGCCTTGTGCCCCATACAAATCAGAAGTGGGAGACAGTTTGCATGTCCAAAGTAGATGGCAAAAGCAGTTTATTTTGTTTTAGCACTCTAAATATATCAGAGCATCTTAGAGCCTCTACAGTTGTGGGACAGAACTATCGTGGCTGCTGAGCCACCCAGTGTCCTGTTGCTGAGTCCCAGCTGCCCCATCACTTATGCCCATAATTGACAGGTACCTTCAGCTTTGGGAGTCAGCCCCTTTGCTGCTTTTGCAGACAGACTGGCAAAGTGAGCAGTGAGATCTGATGTTGAAAGAAAAATCTTGAAAATTCAGCAGAAATAGTGAAAAGATTTATACAAGATTGATCAACCTCTTTAGACTGACCTGTTCATCCACCATCATATCACAAAGATGATAAATAAGGTTGCTGACTAATCTGTACAACTGTGGCATTGTAATCTTGATAACATACTAGTGATATGCCACAATAGCTATTCACAATAACAGCTTACCAAACCATTGTCTGGCATCTGCCAGCTGGGAGATGGTTATTTGGAGTTCAGTGACCCGAGAACCAGGACATGCACAACTAGGCTGTGTTAATATTACATCAGTAATTTTATCAGCAAGGCACATCTTGAAGATTGTTGTCAAAAACAGGATTGTATGAGGGACCCCAAAAGTACAAGCAAATGATGACTGCAAAGGTCTTGACAATCTAGATACTGATGCCAGTGGCTAAACTGTGTTCACTACAGGAATGCAGTCTTATAAACTAGATAATTCTGGGTCTAGAGGTAACAAAGAAAGCACATGGCATGATTCCAGGAGATGTAAAAGACTTGTGGTAAAACTTGGAGACAATGTGGAATTGCTGCCCAGTAAATGAACCGCTAGTAAGTTGATCATGGCAGCAAACAAAGAAAAATAACCCAAAGTGAAATTAAGAGCAAAGATGAAGAAAACTTCACCATCAAGAGTGTATTCTTCCTGGTGAAGAACATAAGACACTGAAAACTTGGTATAACCATCTCTTTTTGGAGAAGTGGACTTCTCCTACCCCTATGGTGGCCTTTGGACCTCGAGGGGTACAAACAGGGCATGTATAACACAAGAGAAACAAGTAGATGCCAGAAAGTTTGTGTATGTGAACTTTAACTACTTCATTTTTAGGAATTAGCAATAATAGATTGGTTTAAGATGTTCACATTCATTTCACTGGATTGATAAAGTTTTGAACAGATTTTGCTAGCTCAGTGAGATTAAATAATAAACTTCTGAATGCGTGTGTAAGGTTTCCTTTGCCTTGCCCACATAAATCACAAATGAAGTTAGGTACCCTACACTAGAGGAAGTTATTAAAATGCAAGTTATCTTTTTCTCCTATGATCATAACTGTGTGATCCTAGCTGAATATAATGAGGGTAAACAAGGCTGGAGTCCATCCAAGAAGTTCAACTGTATGGTTTTCTTTTTCATAAAATAAACTAACATGGAAATTTTGGTCAAAAAGCAAAGCAGGATTTCCTGGGAATCGAAGGGAGGTCTAGGTCGTTGTTGCTACTCAGAAAGGATGGAGGCTGCACAGACCCTTGCCAGAAACACTTGGTGCCACAAGATGGCAATCCTGCATTTCCCACAACCCTCGCTACGGTAGAAGGTTCCGGAAGTTCAGCAGCATCAAGGAGCAGGGAAGCTACAATGCATCAAGGCAATATAAACAAAAGTCAGCTCAGGAAAGCAGGGACATTATAAAAGTTGCACAATTTATTTCTTTTAATAGTTTGTTAAGCTATCTTTATAACAGAAAAGCTACATGAGGCATGGAAACATGAAACTAATCATCCTAATCCTATTTTGGCAATTTTCCCATAACATTGGGAACATTCAGGGCCTTGTGATTAGGACTCGTTACCACTGTTAGGAAGAATGATTCACTCCCCTAAGGGGGTTTTGGCAAGAGGGAAATGGTGAAAAGAGATAAGAGTGGAAATCTGTGGAAGTAGCACAAGTGTTTTAGAAAGTAATAATTATCTATATATGTGCGCATATATATATACACACCAACTATATATATTATGTATAGTCTATGTATATACATTGCAGATTTGACCTTTACTACACTACACACAGCATACATACAGTGTGCATACATCTACACACTCTTGGAATTGCTGCAAAAAAGCATGAACAAGCAAGGTAAAAAACAGTAAATAAGTATGCAAAATTAGCAAGTTTCAAAATTTGAAATTTCTGTTAGTTTTGGTAAATGTCTGGCAAAACAAGCTGAAGGATACGTGTATTACCAAAAGCAGAAAAGGAAATTCTTGGACTTTTGCTTTTAAAAAAGGTAATTACTAGGTACAAAATTCCAAGTCATGAAGTATTCTCCAGCAACTCAAAATACCAGGAGCATTTACTACTTTACTCCCTCCTAAACAAGGAGTTTGGGGTAATATGATTCTCCTCAGAGACACATATGCAGTTACTCAAACCCCCCAAAATCTCCATAGTTCATCAGAGCAGACAGAGAGGGGTCCTTCAGAATGGTCTCCCAATGCTGGCTGACTCAACACCTCTCACAGAATTGGTCTGTCAGCATTTGCTACAGGGCAGAATGAAATGTTACACACACCCCTCAGTCTGCACTCAAATAACTACACACAGTTATATGCAAGCTACAGGCAACCTACAGATGATAATCTAGCAGTGCAGTGCTAAATCAAAGGGGCAGCAAGCTTCACTGGACAAAAACAGAAGATGTTGATGTAGTACAGACTAAGTTTGTGTCATGCGTTGCTGTTGGCGAGAACATCAAAGCCACCAAATATGCTATGTCTGCATGGCAACAGTGGAGGAATTTTATTTTTCTAATTAAAATTATAATCAATCCCTGAGAGAAATAAGCACAACAAAACAACTGTTGACAGTATTAATGGCCTGCAAATGAGGTTATAATTCAGTAAGTTAATTGTGTATATTTTGTTCATCAGTAGCTAAATCATATTCATGACTTGCTGTCAATAGAGGGTTTTTGAATACATTTTGCTTTTTTTTCCCCAAGCTACACAGCCCCCAACCAGTTAACAGAATGAAATAAGACAATCTGAAAAAAGACAAGTGAACATCATCCGTATGTTATTAATAGAGCAATATAAGAGACACAACAGACAAAGTTCAAACATTTCTGGTTGAAAATGTGTGTGAGCACCACTTAATTTAACTGTACCACTAACAAACATATCAGAGAATAAATGTTTCTTCCAATCCCATCATACCAATTGTCTGCAGAATTTCCTGTATATCAAATTCATTTTCTCTGTTTATGGCCATGCTTTTAAAAGCACAGGAGAGGAAAAGAACACATATCCACAAAAAGGAAAAGATTAAGGGCACACATTCACAAAAGTTACCTGAGCCATATTACATAGCCATACTCATGAAGGAAATCTATGTAGCACCCACTTGCTATAATCAAGGTCCTCTAGCTACAATAACTACATTAATGTTACATTTTCCATTAAAACTTTCAAAAACATCTGAAATGCAACATCAGTCTAGGAAAACAATTATCTTTTTTTCAGTATCAAAAATCACTGCAAGATGATACTGCACTTCTGTATGGATGCTGCAAAAAAGCACCATTCATGTACCCAACAACAGTGCACAGATTTTCTTGGCAGGTTTTCTTACATAGATATTGATTCAGTTGGGGCTTAATTAACTTTATGCCTAAAAATTTACTTTACATCTGTATGAAGAGATTTACCTCTAGGAGCCATGGTTTTAGTTTTCTGTCCAGCAGAATATCAAATCCCAGGACTTCAAAGCAGACACTGTCGCTGCCTGGAGCTTGCCCCGGCCTGCACATGCGATAGGCGTGCAGCACGTGCGGCTCCGCCACTATCAGAGTCTTCACCACCAGCTCCTGCAGGGATGCGGTTCAGAAAAATTCATCAGCAGAGAAAACACCAGCACACACTGAACTACAGTGTTTCCTGCTTTAATATCTCAAATTTCATTTACATATACATACCTACTAAAAAAAAAATTTACAATACCAAATAAATAGTGTATAGTAAACAAACTATTCCGATCTGTTACCATATATAACTTTATATAGTTCTAGACTATTGCTGTACTTTCCATGCTACATACAAACTTTGAGACTTGCAATAAGTTAAAGAATAAAAGCAAATTGGTAACATTGAATAGTATAGCCAATCTTCATCCATTTCATTTTGCAGTATAATTTTTGATAAGTGTTCTCAGAATCATACAAACAGCTTTAAGCTCTAACAGTCTTAAGCCTATTCCTCATCTAAAGACACCTGTAACACAACCACTTCAGTGGTGCTTGAGTAAGTACAAAGATATATGCAATTGACTACAATTAACTACAATTTTGTAAATATTTACACATAAAATTCACTTTATACACTAAAATAAAGTCTCCAAGAGTTTAAATGGCATGATTCCTTTGTACCTTTAAATGGCATATTCCTTATGTGAATAACTGCTTGAAAGGACTTTTGATCCTCAGAAAAAATGTTAACATTTTTTACATTTTACAAAAAATGTTAATATCTATGAACTTAGTATTTTTAAAAACATAGTAATAGTTTATGGTATGTCCTTTGTGACATCCATTGCTGAGAATTTGGGTTAATCAAGTTTCAAAAATCATTCTGAATTGCAGTAAAGCAGACGCAGAAGCAATTAATTTTCTAAAAATACACAAAATAAAATAAAGTGCTTTAGTCTATCTTACTGAAATATCACTCCAGAATTTGGAGACATCAAGATTATTTGTTTCTAGAAACTCAGTAAACCATTTTATGGAGCGTTTGCTTCCTTTGTCTTCTGTTTCATCCCGTTCAAAGTGCTCATTATGTTTATTGACAGAGTAGTTAGTCAGATGCATATACAATTGACTCTAAAAAAAGGAAAAGAAGACATTTTAAAAACTTTAAAAACAATTCTAAAATAGTCAATTCAAAATCATGTAAAGAAAAACTGACATTAAATCAATAAAGACATAATCAAACAGCTCATATTTGGAAATACACTACATGCAGATTTAGTGTTTCTGATTCTGGGAGATTGCATGACTGAATGCTCCATAGCCTTCTTACAAGAAAACCTGGGCTTCTACTTAAGCCAGTTGCAATGAACTGATCCACCAATCCACAGCTGGTTAGACACTATATCTCCCATTTTTACAGGTCTCTATATAAACAACTACCTAAAAAAGTAAAAAGCAATTATCATAACTTAGAGAATAATTACATTCTACAAGAAGCAAACAATAAAGTCAGTATTTTGAAGTGCTACTTTTAAAGTGCTAAAAGACACTCTGACATCTGCTTCATAGACAATCCCACATTTCAGTTTTCACTGTAGCTTATTTATGAGAAGTGTTCTCATGATAGTGATACTTTAAAATATCTTTTACATATAAACTCATCTGCCATGCTGATATCTGCCAAAATTGCTCATTTTTAACTGGCTGGTAGCCATACATCAGAGGGAGGTAAATTTCAAAACATACGTTACATAAATGACTGAGATCCTTCATGGATCAAAATGTCAGCAGTAATAGACTCACATTATCAGTTGAATTTAAAGAAAGCATTCCTTTTCCAAGCTCAATTTATAAATCATGATCTGTACATTTACATTATCTCCCAGAGATTAATTCAGCTTTTCACTTACACTGTGGTGATGCCTGTCCTATCACAGTGACAGTTCTCTGTCATGTTTGATTACATACATGAGAGTAGATGATATTCTAAGGTGACCATAAGCCTTCTGTTCCAATTCATTTTTAATAGATAACACAAGCCTTCTGCTGCCATTTATCTTACTACACTTCCTTATCTTTAAAAAACTTAATGAAATTACCAAAACCAATCAATTTAATTGCAAACGAGTTAACAGTATATTGTAGTAGCACTAGAAGCACTGAATTTCTCCCATGGCTTCATTAATCCTTTAAGAATCATTCTGAAATCTATTGGTTTTAAGTCATCATTCCATGAAATTCAAATTATTTCAGACAAAAGTAATTATGTGTTAGACTATTAAAAAAAAAAAGTGTTTGGGCATCTGAACTGATAGTCCAAAGTTATTTGGAACAATGTCACTGTGGAAATATGTCATCCAAAGAACAATGTCATTAGTGACAAGCACGTTATTTCACACAATAGACAACTTCCAGCATGAACAGTTCTGAGAACACAGAAACAACTGCCTGCTCTGTTTATCCTCTCAGAGCATATTTCAGTGCTGCTAATGCCGAGATTAGCAGCAATACACAAATTGTAAAAGCAAACTATTCCAAATATAGTACTGGAACATTTCCAAATATAGCATTTGTACTGGGCCTCAAATTGTACCTGCGTTTTTCAAAGGCACAGCAAGAGACAGTCAGAATTTTAAATTTCACATAGGCAAAAAGGCTCTATGGTGTTTTCAGTTACATAATTACATGGAAGCTGCTCTAAAAGCAATGGAGTACAGAGAGAGGTATAACAAACCTAACCTACTAATACCTTCCAATGCTGCAAATCTACTTATTTCTTAGACATCTGCATTTTGGTCTGAGCCAAAAGAGAAGGGTTTACACCCCCCAATAGGGCAACATGCCATACAGTAGAACAAGAGCAGAAAATTGTGCAAAATCTTTAGCATGACCCTTAGCATTTCTGGGTTTTCTCTGTGCTTACAGGCAGCTCTACTGAGTCACCCTAAAGCTGCCAAGTACACACTGCTGTCCCTGCTGGAGCAGTCACTGACAAACAGCAGCAGCAGCAGGAGATTCCTCATGCTCAGGGACTGCAGTGAGCACTGGGCCCCTGCAGTGCTGGTTCTCTCCTTTCTGCCTCACTTCCCAACACAATGGCTGAAACCTGGCAGGACCCTCAGCAAAGGCTCCAAACGTCATGGATGCTGAGCACTGATCTAGCAGGAGATAAAGCTTATTACCACCTGCCACCCCAGCCTCAGTCTCAGATGAATATAAAAGCAATGTGCCCATTCTTGCAGTGATTTGATTTTATTTTTTGGATTGTTATCTTTTGCTTTCCCCTAGAATATATTTAAATTCTTTAGCATACTACATGCAAAGTCATATGAAATTTTATATATAAGCAATAATGTGGCTATACTTGTGATTTTGATAGAAAACCATGTGTTAAGTGTCTTTCATAAAATTTTTTTTCTCTTCAGTGGCAATGTAGAAGTTTATCCAGATGAACTCAAGTCCCAGTTTATTTAATTTTACCACCTGCAAACACTACACAGGTTAAAGTCTATACCATAAGCAATAAATTGGAATAAACTCCAACTTACCAAATTTGAGTCACTGGGGGGGTGATACTTCTCTGTGCCCATTCTCACCAGTCCATCATGATATAAAAATATTTTTAATGGATCACAGGAGGTCACAAGAATATACACACGTAAATCGAACTTGTAGCCTTCCATGAGAAATGGTTTGTCAAGATATTCCTGAACAATTAAGTGATCCTGAGCTTGTAACTTTTCTCCATTTCTTATTAAAGAGATCCTGGTAAAAACAAAAGTTATTTTAAAACTTGGACATTAGTCTTTGAAATAGATTATCGTGGTCACCCAGCCAAGTAGGGAGGCTAAGGTCTACCTAGAGAGACTTAGATATCTGATTTTTAGGGCAGAGAAAAAGTTCCATTCCCTTACAAGGCTTTTGGTTTCCTGTCCTTTATTGTGGTTCACTAGATGGAAAAAAGCAACGAGCCATTTCAAAGAAACTTTCTGCTTGCTTTGATTCAACAATTTGTAATAATGGGTTTGCTCTACACTTAGAAATTGTTTGGCAGAACGACCAGTCTCCAGCTTCTGTGATTATTTCTCATGCAGCTCTAAAAATAGACTTCCAGTCTTTGTCACAACTTCTGCCTGAGGCACAGACTGCAAAGAACTTCCAGTGCTAACCATAGGTGATGAAGTTTGCAAAGCAGGACACTGATCTGTATGTCTGAGGATGGCATAGATTAAACACAGTATTTCTGTATTTCCAGTTCCTTTACACCAGAATGAAAAAAGGTTTACATATGAACTATGAACTTCCAATCTCTAATAATATAGACTTTTAAATAACTGTAAAAGCTAATATTTTCAGTATACAGTTATTAACCTAAAATTCCCAGAACCTTAAGGCTACCTTAACCTTATTCCCTATTATTCATTATACATTTCAGAGGTTTGGTACTGAATAGTCCTAATAGAGTGAAGTACTTTGCAGAAATTTCTCTGGACTATGCCAGTACCTTTCCCTTTAGCTTATCTTAGCCCTTATCAAGAAGACTGAAAAATAAAGAAATTGAAAGTTCGGGAGCCTTACTTTTATAGTAATTTTGACATATGCTGAAAAACTAAGAGTTTTATTATATAGCATAATTCAAATTGATATTAAAAGCAATAAAAGCTAAAACCAAAATATCTAAAAAAAAGGAACTAAAATTACAATTGCAATATTTATCTCATTGGATTTTTACTGTGTGGCCCTGTCACAAATAAAACTTCTTCAACTCAGCTGCAGGCTGCAGTCTCTTCAGGGCTGTGCCCTGCTTCCAAGAGTGCACATCCAGCCACATCCCCAACAGCATCTCCTCTGTCTCTCCTAAACCTTGTGGCTGCTGCTCTCAAACACATTTCTGCATCTCTGACTGGCTGCAGTTTGGGAACACAATGGGGTGTCTGAGCTGGTTTTAAAGCTGTGAAAGATCCTGACCTCCCACACACATCCCTGCACCCTCCAGCCACCAAAACCCTGCCATTTATGCCCAGTACAATCTCACCCTATAAATCTAAGCACAGCAGAAAAATTCACAATAAAATAACTGTGTTCATAATAATTATTTGAGTTTATTTAATGCTTGTGAAGCCTTCACCCAATACACTGACTTACACTCAAAATACAATCTTCTTATTAATACACAGCTTCTGTTAATGTTGTAAGTAGCACTGGATTTCACCTTTAACAGGAAAGAAGACTGAAGGTAACTCACAACTCACCCATGTCCCATTGCACCATTAGCTGGTTTGACTATGAAAGTTTTCTGTCTACGTTTCTTCTTCAATTCTTTTACATAGTTCTGAAACTGTGTGTACTCTGCAGGAAAGATCCACGTTCGAGGAATGAAACTGTACTCCTGAGGCTGACTCTTGATCATTCTGCACAAAAAGGGTAATTGAGTTAAAATCTTTTGACTACTTTGATGTTTCAATCCTCAAGATGAAAAAGCACTCATGACAATTTGACAAGGGAGCTTTTTCAGCAAAATTCTGTAATATGAAAGCAAACTTTTGCATTTCTTTAAGAATCGTTAGCATTCTATTACATATTCATATGAGTGTGAATGTATTATATTCTAAAGCAGACTATCTTGAGCATTTTTGCTTATGTGCTTATTATGTTACTGGTATCCATCTCATTTCTCGGCATCCATTTCACTCCTGTTACCATTTAATATTGAACTCCTAACAAACCATGGATTTTTTTTTTTTTTTTTTTTTTTTGGCATGGGGAGGTGGTATTTGGGAAGTATTTTAATTTTCATATTGTTAGATGTCTGGGGAGCTATGAGGATTCAACAGACACAAAAAAGAGGAGTTGGGATATTGGGATTTTCTTCTTGGGTGCAAAAAAGACTCAATTTAAAATTAAAAAGCAATTGGAAGCAATTAAGGAGGAGTTTTTTTGTTCCTTTTGAAAGAATTTTAAAAATGAGGAATTGTAGTAAATAGACTTTGACACAGGCCAAGCAACTCATTCATTTCCTATATAGGACAAATCACACAAGCTTTGATTAGTCTTTGGTCCCAGTATATTTGGATTAAGATTCCAAGAGCACCTAATTTAATCAAAAGAAAGCAAAGACATTCAAAGCAAGATCAAGCAGGAAGGGAGTAGGGTGAAGGGGTGGAGCAAAAGAACTAAAATAAAAATAGGGAATCAAACGCTGAATCTGGGGAAAGGATGCAGCAAGGTCCTGATCTCCCTGCTTTAATAGCTGTGGCAGCTGAGGTGGTGAATGTATCTCATTCTATACCTCTGTGAAGAAAAATTCTGTACCTCTGTAAAGAAAAATGGAAGAAGAAGAATGGTAAAGAATTGGGGTAGCAGAAGTGTCCATCACCCAGAGCTGTGTATGACAGGAAGATACACCCACTCCACCTGTCAGAATGGGTGAGGTACACACAGTTCCTTTAACACTGCTTAGCAGCCCAGGTCTAGGAGCAATGGGCACTTGGTGCTGCTATGCACACTGGCATCATTGCTCCCAACAGGGTAAATTTAGTCTTTGCTGACTTACACACTGCTGTAGCTACCTTGTTTCAGATACTCAGAGTACCTGAAACTCCCTTCATACAGAACCTCATACGAAATTAGTTCAGGTAACTCACAAATACTCTGTAGCATAGAGTGGACACATCTAAAATACAAATATGCACAGACCAACAGAAAGGAATTGGAAATTTGAAAAGAAATTAGGTGATACAGGAAGTTCTCCAACTTAGATTTTTTTTTTTTTAAATACCACTATGGTGAAGTTTAATATTTTTTAATTTAGGTATATTTCTCCTTTTGTATTGAAAACTAATAGCATCAGCATAATAATGTGCAAAAAAAGGAAATATCATTTTTATTTTTCATTTCTACTATGAGCTTATGTAATACTCTTGGGCAGATACTTTTTCTTTAAGTGGCTAAAATACTAATGGAGAAAACAGAGCTCTTTTTGAGCCACATGCATGGGGCTAGGACTGTAGCCAAGCCCTACTGGTATAATGGATACACTGTCACCAAACTGTGTAGCCAACCTCCCAACAAACACTCTGCAGAAACCACAATGGCTGCAGCACTACTGCATGAGGTTCTGTGCTTCTGCAGCTTCATTGTAACTATTGTTCTAAGAAATCTGGTTCAATGAAAGCCACTAAATATTCGGGAAAACTTTTTGAAAACAGAAGTAGATATTTGAATTCCTGATTGATTCATGTAGTTAAACTACTCTCCATCTGCTCTGTCTTTATGAATATTATTACTTTGCCAACTGAGTATCTTATCTATGCAAAAATTATCCTATTTTTAGGCAAAAAGCAATTTCTGTGTTAGCTTAAATTCCTCTCCAGATTATTTATCATATGCCTCCTGTTACATGCTAGAGACCTGTCGTTTAACTTACTCAAGGGTTTCAATATACACACTGCCTACTCTAGCTTCAAGCTATTCCTGACATATTGATATTATTTTTTGACTGAAAGTATAAAAGTTCTATATGCCTTATCTTTTTAATGCATAACTGGGGGATTACAAACACTTAATATTATGAAGTGGAATACTTCAGCATTGTTTGTAGGTTCTGGGGCTCACTAAAACATTCAAAAAAAGAATTCAGCTCTGTTCTTTCCCTGCAAAGCCCTATTCAGAAAGGGCTTAGGAACATCATTAAGTAGCCTGTGGAATCAAGGCCTATTCCATTACAATAGCCCTATTTTTCAGCACATGGGCTGTCCACTATCATGAGTAACCACTTTTTCACTGTGCTGCTCTATCCTTTAGCTTTTGCTGTCCTTATCAGGAGGTCTGAGAAACAAACAGCAAATTATTGTTCTTCTGAGTACTATTTTAGCTCACAAATGTGGTCAGACTGCTTTTGATCTCAAAGTGCTTTCTGTACAAAAGAATCAATGGTGTTGAACAAAACATAGCTCACTAAAGGCAAAACCTTCAGTCTAATAAAGCAGATTCCACTGACTTTCCTGACTTTTCACATATGAAACGTTAGTGGGTATATATGGATGAGAATGATTCTTGGCCCATGATCAGTTCATGAACCTTTTCAATACAATCAACAAAGGTGTTGGAAAAGACAATATTGCATAGCTGAATCCATGCCCCTTCCCACTCATCCTGTGCACTTTCTCCCCCATTTACTGAATTCATTTTGTAACCACACTTATCCTTCACACAAGGAACTCTCATCTAAGAGACCCTTCACAACGGTCTCTTAAGATCTACTTGGCCCTATGATGGCACTTCTATTGTTACTTTTTTCTTTTCTGTGTTCTTGTTATTATCCTTGAAAACGATGTTCATGTCCGCCTTTTTTTCTCAATTACATTTCTCTTTCCATCTGTTCCATTATTCTGTGTTCCTATACTTTCTTTGCTGAGTTGTCTTCTTTTATATTACACATGTTATGTATTACACTGCTCCCTTCCACCTTTCTGCACGTGAAAACCACATGGTCCTGTGATCCAGAGTGCCTGGATATTGCCTGAAAAAAGAACTCCTGAAGTGCATTGCTCCTGAATAGTATTTCCCTCTCTGAGTAAGGTAGATTTGTTCTGTTAGAAGTTAAATTGTGTAAATCAGGTTCTGGGCCAAAAGATTAGCTCTATTAATAATTGCTCTACAAACTAATTTAGATTAGACTAAAATATTGACATATATTTACCCTCAAACCTTTCCTTACCTGGCTATCAGATCATTATTTAGTATTGTTTTCTTACAAGTCTTACAGATTCTCAGCTAGGATAAGTCCTGACAACCCAGTTAATCCACTAGAGTGAGGCGAATTTCTAATTAGACAAATGAGGCTCACTGACTAATTTCTTATATAAACAGTAAGATGCTTCACATTTTATAAATTTGATATACGGAAAAATATAACCATTAATTATTTCAAACAAGTACTATCACAGAATTGGTGAGGTTGGAAGGGACTTCAGTGGGTTCTCAGGTCCTGGGTCCCAGGTGAAGCAGGGCAATCCTACAGCACATTGCACAGGATAGTCCAGATGCACTATCCAGCTACATAAAGTTCTTTTGTTCTGTTCTTCTATTATGGGATACATATGTGGGTGCATTATGTATTAGATTTATTGTACAATAATTCAAGACTCACCTACATTCTGCAGTGTTTAGACAGAGAAGTGAACCCACATAACACTTCACTGAAGTCAATTGGAGAAATAAAGTAGCCCACTCCAATGCTTCAGATCCAGGACCAAAGCTAAAGCTATTAAAGAACTTTGAAAATTCTTCTTGGTCCTCTCCTAGTTTCTTAGTAAAAATAAACAAGCCTCAAAAGCAATAGTTCTGTATATTATTGCAATAAATATCACAGCTGGAAAACTTCTTAATATTAAAAGAAATATTACTTAGTCATGTTTCTTGCCAGAAAATCCTTTCTGCATATCTCTCCCATTCCTGGAAAATGGTTGATTCTCTGAGGAAGTAGGAAAAAAAAAAGGAAAATTAATTTAAACTTTTTAGTTTTTCTGGCATACCTAATTACAGTCATTTAAAACATTCAACTGCATGCTCAGGCAAACACAAGTACTGTTAAATCTAAATTATTTAAGATAATATCTTACACTACACTACCTATTCTAACAATGCTGAAGATGCTGCAAGATGTATTCTCTTCCATCCATATAAGTGCCCACTGATTTAATTTCATACATGAGACTATCATACTTTTATTCACAAAGCTATCTAGAAACAGAGAATGCAAACACAAGATAATGGTAAAAAAACCAAAATATGGATTCACAGGACTGTTGAGAGAGAGCTCTGTTTCTTAACTTACTGCTTCAAAGCTGATGAGAAACTTATAAATGATGTTTAGTATCTTCTTTAAATTGATCATTCACAACACTCAACTGGCAGAAAAAAGCATGAAAGAACAGCCCCAAATATTTATACACCAAATTCCAAGTGGTAAGTACAAATAACTCTGGAGAAGAGAATGGGATTCTAAGCTATGCAGTGGTTCAGCCTTAATGCCGCCTGTTTGGTTGTGGTTTGTGTGGGGTTTTTCCCCCCCCACACAATTGTCAGTAACTGAGCAGTTACTGACAATTACTGCACATCTCAGAGTAAAGCAGTTTATGGAAACATGACAAAAATCTGAACTACCACTGCACCTGATAGTTCTGCAGCTCAGCAATCTTCTCTTGCTGCACAGCACAATCGCTCCAGATCAGATTTGCTGTTTCATCCTCATCACGCGTTTTCACAAATCCCATCTCTTGTATTACTATACGCACTGTGGAGAAATCACACTCTTAGGCACTATCTTGTATCTCTTAAGTAGATTCATTTTCAACATTTAAAAAATCAATTAAGATTTTAAATACTTCCAATACAGAACCCTTTGTCAGAGAACAATGTTAGCATGGCAAGCTATTTATCTTGCAGTATTTCCATCAGTCTATTGCAAACCTGCCATTACAATGTTTCAGCACCTTAAAGTGAGTCAGGAATCAGCACAACCTCTTATGGGAACTGCCAAGAGCTTCAAGGTATTCCCCAACAATCCAACAAAAATCCTCTTGTACAGCAGTTAGATTTAATCTTGGTTATGCCATAAGTTAATTTTAAAACAGTGATGACTATAAGTGTCACTGCAGATAGGGACAAAAATACCTCCCTGAGGAAGGTACAGTGTTGCAAAAGCAAATGCATGCATTATTTTAATTAAAAAAAAATCTGATAACATGCCATGCATAACTCTGATTATAGGAAAAAAATATTTTAGCACTGAACATGAAAATACAAAACCTTAACAGACTTTACTGAAATGCCTCTGTATAATAATTAGAGTATTTAACATTGAATTTACACTGCTCATCTTTCAAGGCTTTAATAAACTTCCAAACACATAGGTATTTAGAAGGCTCTTCCACAGCCTTCTTGATTACTTAAGTTTTCACATTTCAAAGTAACAAGTGGGAATCAATATGAGTAACCAATGGGGATTAATAGATGCACAGTATCCAAAGCTATGAATTAAATGTTACAAGAAAACCCCAGGTTTCTTATAAAAGAAACTCCTTCAGAATTGTCTGACTGTCAGCTTGATACAGAGTCCATTAATTCAGTCCATTAATCAGTAACTCTCTCACATCAAAGGCTATTAGGATGAAAACAAAATATGCAGCTTCCTACCAATTTCATATTTCGTGCCAGCAATATTGGCAGTGATAACTCCATTCTTCTTCTTCTTCTTTCTGACTTTTCTTTTAATTGTGCTCTGATAGGGTAGTTCTGAACTCAAAGTCAGAGGAGCAGTTCCACGGTTATCTTTGAAAAATAATGTTGTAACTATTAACATTTTTATATCTCAAATAACATATACAAATTAACTAAAAATACAAGCAGTACTCCATCACAATTTATAGGTACAAGCATACTGAGGAATTCATAGGGTATATTAAAAATCCAAGATTAGCATACCTCCCTCATTAGGAAAGGATGGCATTATAACCTAGGACAGTGCAGAAATGGAGTTCAAATTCTGTTCCAACTTCTCAGCAAAGGCTGAAACTGTCAAAGCCAAATTACTTAAAACTCCGGCCATGCCATTTCAGTCTCTGGTTGTAGAAAATATTAGTTCTGGAATGGACAGATACCTGTGTTAAAGAAATATAAGAGAGACTTTGTCATAGACAAGTCCTGAAAAGAAAAAAGTAAATAGCAGGAAACTAAATATGAAAACACTTTTAATTGCATGTATAAAGAATTGCTTATTTCAGAAGATTGATCAAGCTATTGTAAATATAAAACTTTATTCATTGCAGTTCAATTACTTTCTTTCTGGAAAAATCATTATGCAGTGATAATTTTCAAAATGAAATTCTATTACTTCTTTTTCTGATTTTCATTTGGATATGGGACATTTTGGACATGAAAATAGGTAACACTGAATTCAATCAATAATGCCACTTTCTATCTCCATAAAGCTCAATGAATTTAGTATTTTATACTTAAAACCATATTTGAAATAAAAAATTAAAATCAGACACACTGTGTGATAGATTTTCAGTACCAAGTGGGAAATAACTGAAATCACAGTAATAATCTGTTTCCTCTTTTTTACTTTTCAATGTTTTTTGAAGCAATTGTCCAGTAACCATGTGGTAATGTGGATGCAGTTTCATGACTACTTCATGACACAACAGATATGATTTGAAGACATTTTGGGTTGACAAGCATTTAAATTTTCAGTTTTTAAAGTGAACATTAATTTGCATAAAATGCTATTTTCTACATCTACACACAAAATTCCCTTTTCCTTTTTTCCCTCATGAATACAGCACTACATGAAAAATCACTCATATTAAGTTTTTTAGGTCCAGCTTAAGCACCATAAAAACAATGGGTTAAAATATTAGGGAAAAAACCTTGGGAATACATCACTTCTAAACACACTGCTACATGACTTTGGACATGCAGCACTATTATACCAAAGTCTGTAACGAAATAAATGCTGTCTTTGGCAGGCTGCCTCAAACAAATCAACAAGTTTTCAAAACATATTTAAGATGTTACTGATCTTTGAAAGCTTTCATTTCTTTTCTGCAGTTATATGTGTAGCTAAGGTTCCTCACACTAGCTTTAGATCAGTTTATATTGCTGCTTTTGGTGATTGCAAGACTTATTTAAAATAACTTATAGAGAGCACAAGGGATTTCTTCTACTATAAATAGCAGAAAATTACAGCAAAGTCAAATTCAGCCATGACTTATGATGCAAAATATATGTGGTCATAAGACTGGACAAGATGTGCATTAAGGAAATTACTAAAACATTACTTACAAGTCCACACCTTTTCTTTTTCTCTGTGTATGTGCACACAACAGAGGAGAGAGAGATGTATTTTCTGGACAAGTCACCTACCTTTTAAGAAACTACAAAAGCAGATATTTTGAGCTCCAAGATCTAACTTCCTTTCAAGACAGACATTTACTCTTAATAGCCCAGTAATGCAAAAGCATAAAAAGAACAGATTATGGTTCTTTTATGACTGTCACAAATATACCAGGAGTCAAATTCTGCTTTGTAACAAGACAAATATCTCCCTCATGTCCATTTAGTGCCCCTGAGTATTTATCCACAAAGAACAGGAGATGTTTAATACACAGATACAGTGTCAGACAGCACAGCAGTAACACCCAGCCATTTTGAAGTTTGAATGTTTTGGATGACATTATCTGAGAAGGTGGCCTGAAAGTCCTTGGGCCCACTGTCATACTAAAATTAGACACAGAGTTGGGAAAGCAAAGCATTTGTCCTCCTTAAAACCACAGTGAAGGAAAAGCAGTGCTGGGCACAGTGACTCACTGGCTATTGCATGTTATCTGTTTCTCAGGCTAAGAATACCACCAGAGTACAAGACATGTTTAGTTCCTGGGAATAATACTGAAGTATGTCTGTTAGCCAATTAAGGACTTCTAATAATGTACAAAATGCATGGCAGTCATTTCTTTGCTGTACTGACTAAAAACTTGTAATAAATTTGGAAGAATGTTAAGAGGACTAACACTGCCCTGTGAGAAACGCCAGCCCTTTACTAACACAGCATGATTTACAAGCTATGATATGCTAATAAAAAGTGAGCAGCTCATACAACTTTCATTCATCTTAGAGTCACAGAAAATTATCTGCCCAAAGTTACTGTAACACACTGTGTTCTGAAGGTGGACCATAAAATTCCAAACTGCACCACCACACTACTGAATTACTGCTTTTCTTTAGATAGACACTATTCTTTTCTTCTCAAAACAATACTCTTTAGGGTCAAGGTCTGTGACCACTCACGTTTTTTGTACACATAGATGAGTGGATGGTAAAGATTTACGGCTACCTTTAGAGTATTCCAAGAACAATAAGTAGCTCAGCCATATGGAAAACAAGGTAATGGGACTGTACTCTGTACTCAAACTTACTTTAGGATTTTAACTTTTCAAAAGCACCACTCCATACCAATATATATTCATATTCTGATCTAAGCTTGCATGTAATAACTAAAAATTATTTTACAACTTCTTGACTTCTCTTCAGTAGTCCATCTTCAACCAAGTGTTTCACTGAATTCCAAAGGACCAGCAGTTCTAAACCATTAGTTTTCCAAAATATTTTACACAGGATGCAGTCCTTGCCTTTGTTCCTTTCCAAAGGCCACATAAGGTCCAGTGAAATGGGACAGTCTCAGCATTTTTTCCCACCATGTCAAGTGACAGATCAAGAGTCATGACATGACATGTCAAGAGACACTGCATCTCATCTGGGGGGACACCTTACCCAGAGCAGTGAATTGCTGCTGTGAATTGTAGGCTAAGCCATAGAGCAGTACACTTGCCCTTGTTTAGACATCCCTGCTTTGTGCATCCCCAGGGCAGTAGCATGAGATGCTCCAATTCTGCAGCAAGAAAACCTAGCACCAGCCTGCTGAGGAAGCTGCAGCCTTCCCAGGTAAACTGCAACTGTTCCTCTAACTGCCCTTAGATAACCAACTCTCTAAGCAGAGGAATGGATCACTTGGGAGAGACAGGAATACACCTCTCAGAGCAATACATGAAGGGCAGGTGCTGAGGGGAGGGAGCTGGAAGGAGGAGAGCTCACTCAGACAGGCCCTGGCAGCCACAAGCTCCTACAGCTCTTTTTTAATTCTATACAGCAGAAATCATCCCAAAGTTACTTTGCTCCCTGGCCCAGGCCCTCCCCAGGTATCTTCTTCTAGCTCACATCCTCTTATTTGTTGTTATTGCCAAGCCCTACTCCCAGGTCAGAGCAGAGCTGAAGGAAAAGCAGCACAGACTGCTCTGCAGGCAGCCTTTGCCAGTCACAGGCCAAAGCTGATTGCAGGACTCACCCAGATCATGCACAGTAACAGCAGCAACATTGTCGGGTAATGACTGCATCAAATTCTGAGTCAGTTCTCATACCTGTGACATGTTTTTGCTTATAAAATAAGCATAACCTATAACCCTCATTCAGCTGCAATAATGCAAAGGCATATCTTGCACATAATCTACCTGAGAGAGCTGTTTCCAAGAGATTGCTTTTAATAACATAGGAGAAAGCATTCTATTTTCAAACTGGGACTTTTGGAGCAAGTCAGCTGTCAGAAATCTCTGAATTCACACTCAGGCAGAAAAGGATTGCAGTTCCTGCTGCATATGCCATTTCCCTCCTGAAATCCTGATACACATAAATTAGGGAAGGTTTGTTGCTCAACCATACAGATTCAAGGGTAGCTGAACAAAAATGGTTAACATATAAAGGGAGAAAGACTTGTGAAGAAGAAATGAAAGCATCTTCATCAGGTTAGCACACTCTTATATAAACAAGCACTTGCACTAAATGTGCTCCACAGAGAAAAAAAAAGATGAGATGTTATCTTTACAGCTGCCTGGCAAAGGTGTGAGAGTGACAGTAGGAAAGACACATTTCTGTCCTAGAAAGGCACAGAAGACAAAAAAGAAAAAAGGATCTTTTTTCCTCCAGGGACAGGAGAGGCAGGATACTCTCACTGGAGAGGGAAGTGTTGCACATGGACAGAGAACACAGCAGATGCTCAAGCTCAAGTCCATTTAAAGGAACAGTGCCTTGGTAAAGAGCAGAGGACAGTGGAAAAAAAGTGGTTTCATACTTAATACACTGATTCTTTGACAAATTGTATATTGTGTATTGTATATTCTAGAAACTCAAAACTTAATAATGCTGTTACATGCTGTTACACAAATTAAGAGTATCATAATAAGTTAGTAAATTGCCCTGAAAAATACTCTTCTGGCCTAGATTATATGCAGGTATTTTTTAACAAATTCCTCTCTAATTTCCCTGGTTTTTTCCCTCCAGACTACTCACAAGTGACCTCTGCCTTCCATGAGCCTTCACTTCATGTCTTGATGCAATCTGGAAAGTTTTTAATCTCTAAATAGTAATTGTATGTCATTAGACCCCACCCCCTTTTTTCCCCCACAAACAGTAAGTATCACAGAAAAAGGTTTGATAAATCAGATCAAAAAAGGGCAAGGAGAGTCAAATTCAAACTGAAAGAAAGGTAGTGCAATTTGAGAATCTATTCCAAACAAGCCAATGAGATTCTTCAACCTAGTTTGGATCATACCAGTAACTTTGAAATCACAACAGTGCGCCCTAAGAAAAAAGAGACTAGATTGCATATGCACATTTAAAATTATTTAATCTGATATATTTGGTCTCTCAGAATGGTAGAATCACCTGCTACAAAATACTCTATGTTCTACACATCACTCAGTGAACTGTTTGCAATGAGAACTTCCTTTCTTCTAAGCAATTGTGATACTACTGGTGCCCAGTTTGAAAAGCTCCGTGGGTTATACATGTGTTTAACGTTACATACATGAACAGAAAACAAGACAGATCTCAAGACCTCTCAAAGACAGCTAACATCCTACATACCTAGGTGAAAGGCTACAAAAATGGATTGTCAGGGTAATTTTCTGAATTCTTTGGGTACAGATAAGTACTCACTCATCAACAGTGAGCTGGAATATTTTAGAACAGATTTTCAAACTAGCAGCCTGCTTTCCTCTGAGCCCATTAGTGCAATTTACTCAGTGCTGTCACAAGTGTCTGCAAATGC